CCTCCCAAGTAGCTGGGACCACAGGCGCCCGCCACAACGCCTGGCTATTTTTTGGTTGCAGCCATCATTGTTGTTTGGCAGGCCCAGGCTGGATTCGAACCCGCTACCTTAGGTGTATGTGGCTGGCGCCTTAGCCACTTGAGCCACAGGTGCCAAGCCAGGAGGAAAGAACTTTATTGGAACAAAAGTTTACCTACTGCACCTTTAAAAAAAAAATTTATTGTGAAGAAAAATCTAGGCATACCAGAAAAGAACATTGATTTTAAACGGTTAAAATGGTTGTTGATTGATTATACTATGTTATGAAGGTTTAATGAATTACTTTGGAAAATATTAGAAACTGGGTGGCACTGGCCCCATATACTGAGTGTGGTGGGTTCAAACCCGGCCCCAGCCAAACTGCAACAAAAAAATAGCTGGGCATTGTGGCAGGCACCTATAGTCCCAGCTACTCAGGAGGCTGAGGCAAGGGAATCACCTAAGCCCAAGAGCTGGAGGTTGCTGTGAGCTGTGATGCCATAGCACTCTACCAAGGGTGACAAAGTGAGAATCTGTTTCTAAAAAAAGAAAAGTATTAAAAACTATATAGATAGAAAGTATTACTATTTATTACTATACACTGCTATTATTTTTACTTGATAATTTACTTCTTAGATGAATTGGGTATTGTACAGTTTGGGAATTTGGTCTTTAAAATTGTGTTTTTATAATAAAAACAGTATACAAAGTATTTTGCCTCATGTAATGAAATTAATAACAAAATCAAGGAAATAAAACAGCTCTAACTTCTGAGACCTAAATGCTTATAATTATTTACTAACAGAAAAAAGTTCACTCTTGTTTATATTATTATTCATAGTTATGAATGGATAATGGTTATGGAATTTAAAAAAAATCCAGGTTATTAAAATTCTACTTTAAAATTATTTGTAAGGCATGATATTTGTTATATTTTCATATTTTTCCTGACATATCATTAGCATGCTAACAGAAACGTGTAAATATTTTGAGAGTAATTTTTATATTTTATTTTAGATTCCCTGCATCAGCTCAGAAAAGCCTGTTTTCTTTATTTCAAACTTGGTGGAGAATGCGTTACTGGTCCTGTTGGGCTTCTTTCTGTGTAAGTTGTTTGGATGGCACAGAGGAAACATATTCCAGATTTTAAGACTGTTCAGTTTATCAATTACTACAAATCTTTTGACCTTATACATTTTGTCATTTCATTTATCCATTAGTATCCCAATCAGGTGGCCCAAAGTAATGAAAAAAGCCAACATTTTACACTATTTACTTCTAGGAAACAGCATTAATTAGAAGTAGAGGAGGCCGGGCAGCACCTTTGGCTCAAAGGAGTAGGGCGCTGGCTCCATATGTTGAAGGTGGCAGGTTCAAACCCAGCCCCGGCCAAAAAATGCAAAAAAGAAAAAAAAGTAGAGGCTATAACCCTTGATTAAAGTACAAACTTGGCTTTTGCCTGTGGGATTGTTCATATGATCTGATCTGTGGGAGCCATGAATAATTAAGAAATTTGAATTTAATAATGAAATTGATTGAAGCGCAAGGACTCAGACAACTTCAGTAATAGTTTTTACAGTGCATATCTATGTGGAACTATTCTTGGGAAGTCTGCAAAGCAAAATTTTGAGCCATTTCTCTTTATTCTACAGTCCCAATGTCAATACTGACGTATATTTTTTTAAAGACCGAGTTTCATTTTGTCAACAGTAGAGTGGGGTGGTGTCATACCTCACAGCAACCTCAAACTCCTACTCAAGTGAGTCTCTTGCCTCAGCTTCCCGAGTGGCTGGGACTACAGGCATTCACTACAATCCCTGGTTACTTTTAGAGACAGGGTCTTGCTCTTGCTCAGGCTGGTTTCGAACTCCTGATCTTGAGCAATCTAACCGTCTCAATCCCCATGGTGCTGGGATTGATTACAAGCATGAGACACCAAGTCCATGACATATATATTTTTAAAATCTAGGCTTTTAAGAAAGAGCCCAGGCCATGTAGGTAGTTCATCCTGGGACCTCAAGATGAATGAAAGAAACAGCTCAAAATATAAGACTTACGTAAACTGAAGAGAGGAGTTACTTAGCTTTTCTGAAAGGGTATCTTCTGTATAGTTCCTTATGGAATAAAAAAAAAGTATTTGCTCCTGCCTTCAAATTGAACATGTAGGCATTAGCTTGTAAAGACCTGTGAAATGTCGAATGTGTTGAACTTTATAGATGATAAGTACTGGAAATTTTAGAGTAAATTTTAATTTCTGGGTCTTACCAATATTTTTTTTTCTATTACAGATTGTCTCCTAACCCCGTAGTTTTAATTGGACACTTCTTTGCTGTTGCAATCTATGCCATATATTTTTGCTTTAAATCGGAACCTTGGATTACAAAACCTCGAGCCTTTCTTAGTAGTGGTGCTGTATTGTACAAAGCGTGTTCTGTAATATTTCCTCTGATTTACTCAGAAATGAAATGTATGGTTCATTAAGCTTAAAAGGGAATCATTTCCAAATGAATATTTGAAACTCACCATGTCCTGAGAGACTCAGAAGAGGATGTATATAGCATAATACTACACCACTTCTAAAGTAGCAGCTGTTGGTCCAACACTGGGATTAATTTGTTTTTGAAGTGTTTTGTATATAAACATGTAAATATATGCTTTGATTTGCAATTTAAAATGAAAGGAAAAATAAGCTATATAAAAGGAATGATTGTTACCTAAACTAGTGCTAATACTGAAGAACAGCTTTTCTTTTGAATTTCCTATTTGGAATGAGTCGTTAGGACATGCAAATAAATTGAAGAATGGGGTTTCGTGCTTTTTGGTTTCTTGTGCACTTCTTTACATATAGCTTCCTGATAATGGAAAAGAAAACCAAAGTGGGATGGAAGTGCAGAGGAAAACCTGTTCTATTAAATGTCTGACTTTGGGAAAGTTACCTTAGTGTCTCTGGACCTTATTTTCCTTATGTAGCTAATGAAGCAATTTGACAAGGTTCTTTAAAAAAAAAAAAATTATTTTATTTCATTTCAGTGCCATGGTTTGGATTTGAACCAAAAGGTTCTTTTCTGAGTTCTCCGAAAATGTCAGATGAACAATGAAGGGCTTTGTAAGTCCCAGCATCTAACATTAATAAACCAGGCTAGGATTATTTCAAGAAACTGTGGATAAACACATAATAAATGGCATAATGCCTTAAAATCAGTTAGAATTTACTGAGTTTACTACAGTAAATTTGAAGAGATTAGGGATATTCAAAGGGTTATCATGAAAGTCCAATAAATCCTTAAAACATCACCAGAGTAAATTTACCCTGAAAAAAAAAACAGTAAAATATAACCTGAAAAATTAAGTAACTACTTCAGATCATAATGATTAGGGCTAAAGTAACTTGTAAAGCTTATATAATAAACATTTCTTTGAATTTTTTAAGTTCTTTCTTTCAGTTGAGAAAATACTTCACCAGTCAAGTCAGTAGCAAAATGAGTTTCAGACATCACTTTATCCTGGTAAAGCAAAACATATAGTGGACTCATTTGCTTGGTTTTATAAGATTCCCTTCTAATAACTTACCCCAACCTCTATTTAATGTAGTTAAAAACTTAATTTCTTAGATTTGGCCTTTTTAGGAGCTGGCTTTCTTTTCACAGACAGCTAAGGATTTCACTTCACGTGGTTGTTGTTGTTAATAAGATGACACATGAAAAATGTTTTTTAGCTATGGATGTTCTCACATAGTAGCCTCAGGAGGTAAGACTTCAAGTTCCTCACATGCTAAACAGTTCACTCACTTCAAATTTTGTCCTGGGCCTCCATGCTATCTCCATGACCAGAATGTGATGTTTTCCTTACTCTCCACTGAGATTCTTTTTTTTTGCAATATTAGGCTGGGGCTGGGCTTGAACCCACCACCTCTGGCATATGGGGCTGGTGCCCTACTCCTTTGAGTCACAGGCACCGCCACCCTCCACTGAGATTCTTTTTAAAATCCTTTCTACTATGATAATTAAATAATCAAAGCCTGTAAAATCTTACTTTTTTCCTTTAGCATCTTAGAATTTGAGGCCTTCAGACAAAAGAAATGGTATCATAAAATGAGAAGACTGAAGGAACTAAGAAATGATTTAGCCCTAATAGGTTGGCTTGGAATAAAGTTTAACTCGTGGCAGAAGCAGGACTCAAACTTTGCCTCCTGTAATGACTGTCAGGCATTTCACTGGTTCTGGGCTTTGTTTTGCTTGTTCTTCTCTACTCTAGAGGACACAGCTAGGTTTAGGGCAGAAGCATCTTTCTTGCTGTTATCCAAGTTGTTGAGGTCCAAGTTGCCACAGCAGGATGAAAGCTTCCTTTTCAGGATAATTTTCATGTAAAAGTAATTTAGGATTTTGAGATAGTTAAAAGCATATGACTACATTGTTGCATAGAGGGAAGAGTGTGGATAATGACTGCTTGTAGAGACTGGGGGCAGGGCTGAGGGGGTGCTCAGGAAGGCTGATGCTGAGGTAGGCAGTCCTACAGAAGAGATGCCTGGAGCCCCTGAGGTACCTGAGATTAGAAGATGATGATGGACTTCAGATACCAAGAAACTTCATGGCACATGGCAGATAGATTGTGTGGCCACTATATCTGTATGCCATGTGTGCCGGTCAGCCTTGTCATGGGTGGACCATTGTGCCTGCCAGAGTCATCTCTGATCTTCTAAACAGGGTTTATTTACAGGGTGAATATATGGTTTTTGAATCACAAGCACAGGGACGACTTTGGGTACTAGCAGTACTATTTTACTGAAAATCTGGGGTTGAACAAATAGTTCTTTAGAACACAGAACTAAATGGATTTATACATACAGTTACATTCAACATTTATAAGAGGCAGTACAAAACTGTGTCTTGCTTCTACAGGATATAAACCGCATATAATGCCATGATTTACATAATAGCTAGTGCCGTAAGATACCATCTTACTCAGAATGTCTGATGTTTTCCACAGTAAAGGCAAAAAAATACAGTTATATGAGCAGTTAAGTTTCATCTCATTTCCAAATTCATTTTAGTGATAAGATTTCAGGACAATCCTTTCATTGAAGAAGTAGGAGAAACAAGTTATAGGACTGTTCTGAATTCATCAAAAATGAAATTAGGCACATGTGCTTCAGCAACCTGAAAAAGAATTATTCATAGTGTTAAATGAACAAATTCAGAGTTTTCCATATGAAAATTAAAGAAATGAAGATACTGTTTGGAGCAAGATGAACCACAGGGAAGAGGTGACTCATGGGTGGACCACTCCTCAAAATAGCCACTTGCTGTTTCTCATGTTGTCTGTACTAATGTCTCATTTCTACGTACTGCTAACATTTGAGAGGATGCTGTACAACCCCCTCTGCCTCCAGACGTAAGCTCCTTGACTTTGATTTGTGTGGAATGTTCAGGCCTCTGGGAAGTACTAGGAGATACACTCAGGTCACCTAACTTGCTTTACTAACTGATGACCAACTGAGAACAAGGTGCCTGGCAAGTCAGAAGAGGTGGGTGGAGGGGATAACAAGGAACTGAGGGAAGAGAGGGGAGGAGGAGGAAGACCTTCAAAGTCCTACATCCTTTAACTGTTCTTAAGTGAAGCTCTGAGGGGGCCAAATGGGCTGAGTAGGGTGGAATATAAAACTAGGTGATCTTCAAGTGCTGGAGATGAGTAATTTTTAGAATCAGAGTTTAAGTATTTTTTCTGATTATAAAGATGTCACCTGCTAATTAGAGGAAATTTAGCAACATAGAAGAATATAATAAATTATCTTCATCCCTTAGAGAAAACAAAACCTGATAACTCTTGTATTGAATTCTTATAGTTTACACACACACGTACTCTAAGTTGGGATCATATGAAATCTAATGTCCTTTACCCCCACTAAATCTTACATTATGCAACAGTAATTTTACTGTTTGGATTTTTGTCCCTTAAATCCAATGGTGGTCATCCTTATTACTTTTCCTGAGAATTGCCTGTTATATCCTTTGCCCATTTTTTTTTCCCTACTGCATGGGTCATCTTTTTCTTACTGAACTTGAAGATTTGAAGAACACACTGTACATCAAGGAAACTAGTCCTTTGTTAATATTTGCTGATTTGTCTTTTTTTTAAATTAAAAGATGTTTGACAAAATTATTTATGTACATGCAGCATTTATAAGAGATCAACTCTAAATCTTTTCGTTTCCTCTGTATAGGAAGTTCTAAGAGCTGATAACATTATTTGTCTAAAATTTCCAATTTATTTGTTTCATATTTCATGCTAAGCCTGTAATTAATTTTAAAATAGAAGATGTAAAGGGAATGACTTGCTGCTTTTCAATCACATAATGAACTAGCTTATCTATTGACTAATATTTCTTTTATCTTTTAATTTGAGATGTTGCTTCTTCTTATATACAACTGTATGCATAGGATTTATTTCTAGGCTACATATTTTGAGTCCATTGATCCTTCTATTGAATTGCATACCAGTATCACACTATGTTGCTTTTTGTAGTTTTACACTATTTTAATGATAATATGTTTTTAGTATCTTTTTTTTTTTGGCCAGGGCTGGGTTTGAACCTGCCACCTCTGGCATATGGGGATGGCACCCTCCTCCTTTGAGCCACAGGTGCCGCCCAATATCTTTTTTTTTTTTTTTAAAAAGAAGCCCATATCTTGTTTAAGTCCCATGAAATGTTTAAAAATATGTTTTTTGGAGTTAAAAAGTTACTTGAATTGTAATTCCAGGAAACCTATATGCTAGAAAGAACTGTTACCACTATAATATTCAAGTACGCTCATTCAGAAACACGGACTTTCAAATTTTACATTTCAAAATTGTGTATTTATAGATTGTTCTTTCATATTTCTTGGAGAGATTCTTCCCAGCTATATTATTTACTTATTACTGTGAATAAGTCCTTTTTCATGTTACATTTTTGCATTATTAGTCTATTTTGTCTGTTTATTCTGTAGGCAGTTTGTTTTCTCATGATTCTACTGGTTATTTAAGAAAGAATTATTTGTCAAATAATAACAGAGTTTATTTTTTCTTTTCTTTCTTTCTTTTTTTTGGGGGGGGGGGTGGGGACAGAGACTCACTCTATTCCCCAGGCTAGAGTACCATAGCATTAGCCTAGTTCACAGAAATCTCAAACTCCTGGGCTCAAGAGATTGTCCTGCCTTAGCCTCTGGAGTAGCTGGAGGACAGGTACCTGCCAACATGGCCAGCTATTCTATTTTTAGTAGAGATGCAGTCTAGCTCTTGCTTGGGCTGGTCCTGAACTCCTCTGACCTCAAGCAATCCTCCTGCTTGTGCTTCCAGGGTGCTAAGATTACAAGCATGATTAAAGACACCTGGCCACCTTTGGCTTTTGTTTATAAAAGCGTATCTTTAATTCCTAACCTAATTATTTAAAATCAGAATTAATTCCCAACATCTTTTGGAAGTCCTAAATTTTAGCATCAAGCTCTCCATGTTGAGTTAAAACTTAAAGTGGAATTGCTAGTAAGAAAGGAAAAGGGAAGAATTTCTTAGAAGGTAAAAGGTAGCATGTCATTTTGGGGAACTGATTGTAGATAATTTTAGTTGTGGTATGAACTTGATCAAACTTGCTGTGGGAACCAGGTCAATGGGCAGAGAAAGAATGAGGGACACATGATTATTTCTTTACCCTGGACACATAAGGAACTGTCTCCTGGCCTGCCCATTTTACTTAACTCCTCCTGAGCCAGATGAGTTGCCATTAGGAGGGCACGGTGGAGGGAGAGAGAAAGCAGAGGGATATTGTGTTAACCTCTGCCCTCTTGTGCAATACTCCACATGGTGGAGAAGAACATTCCAGAGACGTGGGGCAGAGCAGGGGCAAGCAGCTCAGAGGCATCCACTGTGAACAACCTACCAGGTCACTCTCTGTGAGTCCAGGGCCACTATTATCACTGTCTTTACAAACAGCTCATTGACACTGTTCTTTGCTATCTATCACTTACCCTCCTGGGTAGCTTTGTGTACCGAACATAGTCCTCCAGGAACAAAAGGGCACCCACAACATCTGCAGGCATTTCAGGGATCTTCTGGCTGTAACAGAGAACAGTCTGGATCAATTAACTGTTTTGGACATAAAGGCCCTCGGTCAAAATACAGAAAGACTAAATATGTGACAGCTTACCAAATGCACTGAAAGAAGTGCAAATCACAGAATGGCCTCTTCATTCCTATCGTGTCACCACCCTGCTCACATACTTTCAGGAACCTACCCCACACGATAAAATCTAAACTTCTCTGTGGAGTCCAGGGGCCTTCCCCATGTGCTCCCTGCTCTGTGTCCGACTCCTCTCCCTGTTCCCTGTTGGCATTTCATGGTTAATGCCTGGCCAGTTCCATGTTTCCCACCGCTCCAGTCTTTGCAGCTACACTTGCTGTGCACACAAATAAACTCCTAGACAGTTTTCAAGTCCCAACTTGGGCACATGCTCCTCTGTGAAGTTCTCCCTCATTCTGCTGGGCAGATGCCTTTTTTCCCGTGCTCATTAGACTCAGTATCATTCTCAGAGCCTCTTAATTTTCAGTTGTGTGCCGGCTTCCCTTCTAACGTATAAATTTGAGGGCCTGGACCATGTCTTCATCTTTGTATCTCTAGTATCTGGTATTGTGCCTGAGTATTATATATTTGGAGGTGTCAAACACATATAAATTGTTAGATGTCTAACAGTTTTTCTATGTGGGATCATTCATACAACAACTGTATCACTAGGCTGGGTGCAGTGGCTCATGCTTGTAATTCTAGCACTCTGGGAGGCTGAGGAGGGTGAATTGCCTGAGCTCAAAGGTTCTAGACCAGCCTGAGCAAGAGCAAGACCCTATCTCTAAAAAAATAGCTGGGCATTGTGGAGGGCACCTGTAGTTCCAGCTACTTAGGAGGCTAAGACAAAAGAATTGCCTTGAGCCCATAAGTTTGAGGTTGCTGTGATGCCATAGCACTCCACTGAGGATAACACACGAGACTCTTATCTAAAAAACAAAACAAAACTGTGTCACCAAACACGGTCTTGGAGCTGGGAATACAGCAAAGTAAAGTATGAAGGTCTCCTTAGAGAACTCACATTCCTTGTTTATATCAAAAGGAGTTTTTATGTGTTAAAACTATTTCCAATTCATGCGCCAACTGGCATTTTCTAATTAACAAAGAATTTTAAGGTATTATTGATCTGTTTTTCTGAAGAATTACTGCTTCTAAGAAGGTTTAAGAGTGATTATATGAGAGGACGCTGGCACTGCTCTCAAACTTGCCAAGTGTGACCAGGGTGGTATTTGCCTGGGGGAAGGGAAAGGAAGGCATCCCCATGCAGCTCAAGTTCCTATGTTAGTTTGATTGAATAAGTAGCAATGAGCTACAGCTGGACTCCTGTGTCCTCATGGTCATACTCAGGGTTGCTGATGACATGCTGGACCAGAGTCACCCTTAAGACTTTACAGTCAGGCTCAGCGCCTATAGCTCAACCGGCTAAGGCGCCAGCCACGTACACCTAAGGTGGCGGGTTCGAATCCCCAGCCCGGACCCGCCAAACAACAATGACGGCTGCAACCAAAAAATAGCCAGGCGTTGTGGCGGGCGCCTGTGGTCCCAGCTACTTGGGAGGCGGAGGCAGGAGACTCGCTTGAGCCCAGGAGTTGGAGGTTGCTGTGAGCTGTAATGCCACGGCACTCTACCCAGGGGGACAGCTTGAGGCTCTGTCTCAAAAAAAAAAAAAAAAGACTTTACAGTCAGTCATCAGTGAAGAAGTAAGGCAAGAAAGATCTGCCCATGCTTGACAGCCAGGGAGCTCTAGTTGGGACAGCCAGGTGTGTGGAGGTTACTTTCCAATCACCCTCATGCATGTGAACTGCAATCCTTTGCCTCCTCTCCATGGTCCTGGGCCAGATGTGCTGGTTTTGGCTGTCCATTGCTTTCCTTTACTGACTTCCATTTTCTGATTATTACAATTTCATTTCTGAGACTTACCTATCCTTCAGAGCTCTTTTATTTTTCAGTCGTTAAAACATTTGCCTTTTATAAGTTGTCATATAATTTTTTTAAAAAAGTAAAAAAAAACAAAACCAAAAAACAGCCCTGCTTTTTGAAGCAAGTTTGACCACCTGTCCTAGAAAAACATCCAGTGTCTGTTGTTCAACTCATTAACTAAGAGAGGGAGGAATTGGCCTGATTGCAGCTCATAGAGAAACACAATGTTGGGATTTAAAAGAAATGCCAAGCCAGTAGGAGCCACTCGTATGCAAGGGATGTCCAGAATGAAGGAGCATTATAACCCCTCTGCTCCAAAGGGAGCACTGTGTTTGCAATCTTGGTCCAAGTTTGGGAAGCCAGAGTTGAAGATGGCCAACAGCAGACTGGAACACCCAGAAGAGGACACCTCCTATGGTAAGCAGCCTCCAAACTACATGTAGCACACGAGGAACAGGTGGAAGGGGCTATCTAAAGCATAAGAAGACCTACAGCAACAGCTGACATAAACAATTGGAAGTGACGCCATGAAGGAAGGAGACTGTATTTACTATTGTTTGCCAAGTTACACTGGCAAAAAATGACCAAGTGGTCATTTTCCAAATTTTGAAAGTGCATGTATAACGTGACAGAGAAATTTATTTAGTAAGGCCTGACCCTTTAGGGAGTAGAGAGGGAGGCTCAGGACCCAGCATTCTATGCAGATGACTTTTTTTCCTCTATGCCAGAAAAACTACATTTGGGGGGTGGAGGGGAAGAACTGACGGGAATTAAAGGTTCACAAGTTTTGTATCAAATCGTTTCTGTGTGATTTGTTTCAGTACACTCAGATCTTACCCGGGTTTTGATACTAACACCTTGATTTGTTCCAGAACACTCAGATCTTACCCGGGTTTTGATACTAACACCTTGATTTGTTCCAGTACACTCAGATCTTAACCAGGTTTGGATACTAACACGTTCTCTGACTCCCACTGGTTTGTGGGAGCCATCTCTTGGCAGTGCCCCAGCAGAACACAGGGCTCACTGAGCCCTGAGAGCTGGATCCCAGATGCAGAGGAACAAGACTGCACTTTGCTCCTTATGTGGTTACATATCATGGTCATGATTCATTCTTGGAAAATTACTGCGAGTATAACTAAAGGAGGTGCCCCGGCAGGGTAGCTAAGGGCACCAAGCAAGGAGATATGCCCTCACTTGCTTTACAGAGAAGGGTAAGCTACCATTTCCCACCTCAATTCAGACAGTTAAAGGAATATGGCATGCAAGGTGTAAGACACGTCTGTGACATTCAGTTCCACTTATTCCTGGTTGGTCTTTTGTACCTTGTACACTGCTCCACTGTGGAACGGATAAACTGGCCAATCAGCGCTAGGAACTGCTCGGTGTACCGGGAGTGAAACTGCTTCAGCAGAGTGAGTAGTCCCAGGACAAGTGGTGGCCAATCCACAGGGTCAGCAGGTTTTCGACAGACCATTCCTGTGAGGGAACAAATCATAATAGCATAAGGTAAAGTACTTACCTTTGGCAGGATTCACTAAATACATATTAAGTCTGTGAATGACAAGATTTTGGGGGGCCCACATTCTTACTGACAGATGATGACAAGTCTGGACTCTATTTTGAATTAGCCAGGGGATTGCTGGAATATTCTAGTAGGAGTCAAAATGACACACTAGTTACTAATTTTTCTAATTACGATTACTGTTTCTTTTGGATTATTCAATCAATGTGGATGATTGCAGCAAATTTTAAAGATACAGATAAATGTAGTTGAGAAAAAAAAATCACCTATACCTGCAGATGTCTGTTAATGGCAGCATGACATAATACATACCCTGAACACACTCTCTTAAGTGAAAACAATTAAAATGCTGGATAAAACATTTTTTAAGTAGCTTTATACACAATGTTGAGCATTATACACAAAAAGAGTCTGCAGAGTTGAGTCAAGACAGTGGAAGAAGGAAATTTATGTAGTCAGTGAGTGCCAAAGGCAACTTTTTCCACTAAAGATTTCTGTCAATGGCTAGGCGCCCGCTACATACACCAAGGCTGGTGGGTTTGAACCCAGCCCGGGCCTGCTAAGACAACAATGACAACTATAACAGACAAACAAACAAACAAAAGCACTAGGCGTTGTGGTGGGCACCTGTAGTCCCTGCTACTTGGTAGGCTGAGGCAAGAGAATTGCTTAAGCCCAAGAGTTTGAGGTTGCTGTGAGCTGTGATGCCACAGTACTCTACTGAGGGTGATATAGTGAGAATCTATCTCAAAAAAAGAAAAAAAAAAGATTCTACCAAAATCTGGAGAACTTCACCTACTTGGATGGCTGCATGAGAAAGAGGAGACAGAGCTTAGGGTATTCCAGATGCAGAGGTACAATGTTGAAAAAGAACAGTGTTGAGAGACTTAAGCTGCCTGATTTCAAAGCTCTCTCTAGTTAGAACAATCAAGATAGTGTTGGTATAAAGATAGACAAGTAGATCAACAGAATAGTCCTCACCATATGTGATCAATTGAATATCCACAAATATACCAAACTAACGGAGATAGAGACATCTTTTCAACAAATGGCACTGAAACCAGATAGTCTTACAGTGGAAAAATAAACCTTGACCCTTACTTCACACCACACACAAAAAACAATTTGAGATGGGCCACAGATTTCAAAGTGAAAACTACAAAGCTTCTAGAAAAGGACCAAGGAGAAGATTTTTCTAACATTAGTGTTGGCAAAAATTTCTTAGGACACAGGACTAACTATGAAGGAAAAAAATGGGTAAGTTGGACAATCAACACTAAAAACTTCTGCTCATTTAATTCACCAGGAAGGAAATGAATAGATAAGCTACGGTTTGTGGTAATATATTCACAATAGGTGAATTTAACAAAGGACTTGTATCCATAGTATGTAAATAACTATAATTTTAACAAAAGCAAACAACCGAATTTACAGAGTGGACAAAAGACTTGAACAGACACTTCATAGGACCATAAATACAGGAGAAAATGCTCAATACCAGTAATCATCAGGGAAAGGCAAACAAACAGTACAAGGAGATCCCTACATACCCGTCAGAATGGCTAAAATTAACAACACTGACATCACCAAATTTTGGTGAGGATGTAAAATGTACACACATTCATTGTTATTGATGGTGATTAATTCTGACCATCACTTTGGAGAAAGGCCTGGCAGTTCCTTACCAAGACAGACCCTCAGATCCCATATTTGGGTTCTTGGAAATACTGGGAAATCTCTTCCTTAAACCAAAGATACCTAAACAAGTTACCCTGAATTACCCATCCTAGACCTTGGCAATTCTGACTTACTCAATGTGTACCATGTAAGACACTTATAATACTCAGATCATGGAGAAATAATCTAATCCTAATAGCACTCAGAATGGAGAATCATCCTTGTCAGGTGGAGAGCAAAAGTGACATTAACAACAAAAATTCCTCTACAAATAGAGCACCACAGAGCTTCCTTCATAAAGGACAGACTAAGCCAGGCATGCATTTCTTAACTCAGCATTGAGAACAATGTTCAGGAGGTTAAATAAACATTTTTAGGATACGAAAACACGTTAATGTTTCTTCCTCAGTCCTTTAATTTGGTTGTATTAACACATCAGTCTCATTTAAGAAAAGAATTGCAATCGGGTATAGATACTAGTACATTTCTAGGATACTTAAAGATTAGGTTTTATTTAAAGATCTGGGGATTCCATGGAATAGCTCTTCACTTTCCCAAAACAGTTGTATAATCCAGGTGCCTGACCCGAAACATAAGTACAATGAAAGAACTATTACCTTGGAACAAGAGTAGTGGACAAACAGTCATTCTTTGATGAAAATAAGATTCTTTATGTACTGACAATTCATCATAAAGAATCATAGGGACAACAGAGAAAGAACAGGAATCTCTGAAGTTTGAGATGAATCTTTCCGTTAATTGTAGGATGGTACTTTTTTTTTTTTTTTTTTTTGAGACAGAGCCTCAAGCTGTCCCCCTGGGTAGAGGGCCGTGGCATTACAGCTCACAGCAACCTCCAACTCCTGGGCTCAAGCGAGTCTCCTGCCTCCGCCTCCCAAGTAGCTGGGACCACAGGCGTCCGCCACAACGCCTGGCCATTTTTTGGTTGCAGCCATCATTGTTGTTTGGCGGGTCCGGGCTGGGGATTTGAACCCGCCACCTTAGGTGTACGTGGCTGGCGCCTTAGCCGGTTGAGCTATAGGCGCCGAGCCGGATGGTACTTTAAGTTGCTTTTGACCAACATATTTAGCACTTTTTGAGCACTCACTTTGTCAGAGGGACTATAAGTTGGCCATAGTCACACAGGAGGTCAGTGCTGAAGCCAGAATACAAACAGGCATTGGTCCCTTTCCTATTCCAAGTACTGATCAGTGATCCCTGCTCTGCTTTCTGTGGCAGTAAGGGGTACTGCCATGGGAGCAGTGTCTAGAACCTGAATCTTTTGAATGAGACAACTGAACATTAAAGAAATTATATATTTCTATCCTAAAAAAGCTGATGAAATAGGAATGGAAATACTTTAAGGAAGAAATAAGTTTTGGAATCTCTGGATAAGAAAAAATAATAGTTGTAGATATGGTCTTCTAACACTTTTAAGGTAAATTCAACTCTATAGTGGATTTTTAAAAAATTCTACTTAATTGGATACAAAGTTTGGAGATGGAAGAAGTAGGAAGTACCTGGGAATCTATTAGGAAATTATGAAAATGTTCAAAATAAACTGATCAGTGACAAAAAAAGATTCGAGTTATACTGCAGGATAGAATACATTAAAAACTTTGGTATCTACTGTTTGTACCGAACATAACATTCTGACATATAATCATACATAAAAAGCATTAGATATTCAAGTCTTGGTCTTAACTATTTTGTTATTTTCATATCACAGTTCCAGATACATAAGAGGCACATGAGACTTGTTGAAAGAACAGAATATTAACCAGAAGAAGGTTCTTTACACCATAATTAGTTGATTAAACATTAAAGGAGAGAAGCAAAGGTCCCACACATTCTACAAGTTGGATAATTAACCCTCAGAAAGGTGGACCATACTTGGTTGATTTTAAATCTACTGAGTACATTTCATGAAGGGGCATCATATTTCAGGGGCACAAAAACACAGATTTCATCAACATGCATGTCACTGAGAAAAGATCTCGTATTTGACACAGCATTCTGAATGAAGAGCTGTTTAGATATTAGTCTATTGTTATTGTGGCTTATTGCAAAAAATGAATGTCATACAGTACCTAAATTTTTGTTGTACTGAAGTTTTGGCAACTGGGCAATCAAGAAGAGAAAGTTGACAATTGGGAAATAGGGTAAGCGCTTTGTAGTTATGTATATCTGAAAAGAGAAAGTTAAGAGTCGTTATTATTTCTTCACATTGCACAATACCACGGAACACATTTTCAAGTGATAAGCTTCAGTTTTATTTCAATTTGCTCTTCAGACTACCTTGAACTCAGATGGTTTCACTACTTTGCTGTCTTCAGAGTTTTATTTAACACCCCTGACCCGACCCTGCCCAAACATGAATACCTATATCACAATTCACCCTTCTGGAAAGAGAACAATTTTGCTTAGAGATTAGCAATGACTTTCCCCAATTTCTGTAATGTCTTTAATAAAGGGAGAGTAGAAAAGCGTGATGAGAAAGGATGGGAGGGGAGGGTGAAATAAAGAGCAGTCAAAGCAGAACTGGAGGGAAAGATGGAGGAAGGAGGAGACAAGGATGAAGGTGAGAGAGAGATGGGGAAAGGGGAGAGAGAGGAAAGACCCCGTGGTGGTGTGTGGTAGCACTGAAGTAGAAAGCAAAGTTCTTTGTCATTTGCTGTCTCTGGACAATGCCACAGAGCAGTGTCTCTCCCAGTGAACATGGCAGAAGTACAGTCAGGGTGTACATGGCCAGCTCCAGCCTCTATGCTGTCCAAATTCATAGGAAAGAGAGCACAAGGCAGCTCAGGAGCACAGGGCCAGTTGGACTGCCTTGCTCTGCCACTTACAAGTATGGAGTCTTGGGGAAACTGTTAACCTCTCCAAGCCTCAGGTTCCTTAGCTAATGATGGTATATGTCACAGAGCTATTAGAGATTAAGTGAGATGATTCATGATGGGGGTTAAAGACAGTGCTTGGCATGTGGTAAATACTCAAAAGATGTTAGCTGCTGGCCCAGTCCATACTCTTTTATTCAAAGATATCCAAGGGATAATACAGATTTCAGAAGTTCCAATTTTACAATTTAAGAAAGACAATAGGGGCCAGGGGTAATGGCCTATAATCAAAGCCGTGAGTATTTCTGCATCCAAACATATGATCACTGACACTGAAGGAGGGTAAGTAACCAGCATAAGTAGCCTAAGTCAGTTTAGGACAGGTTTTGCCCACAAAGGAGATCTGGCATCAACTTATTGAAGTATTTCCGTTCTCAGAAGTTTTTGGCGTTCAGAGCTGCAGAGAAGAATCTGGAGCCCCTGGTTATCACTGTGGTTACTGTCAGTCACGAGGGGAAGCATCTCATTAGAGCAAGACAGAGCAATGCTGCCATTTAGCTGCAGTTCAAACACCAATCCCCAAACTAATCTCTCCTGCTGACACAGACTCTTCACTTCACATGAGCTTTCACCAACATGAGCACCTGATTCTTAGGGAAGGTGTGATAATCGCTCAGTAGGGCTGGGAACTTGAGGGAATGGAGGGTCTGGGGTCTGAATCCAAAGTTGTCCTGGTATTTTTACACACTCATCTGTCACCTGAGCCAAATCACCTTTTGCACCACACTTCCTTCCTCCACACCATTATAAGTTTTAATCACTCACCTTATTGAGTGGGTTGTGAATGCCAGCTGCCTCCAGATAGGCTGTGATCTCATATAAAAGTGTGTTATCTTCTTTGGGGTAAGGAAGTGAAGGGTCCTGGTAATGGGCTTCAATATCTGCTAGGAGAGCCCTAAATGAAGGGGAAAAGACTGTGGTAAACATTAGTGATTAACTGAATTTATACAACAGTTATTACAGGCCAATAACATAATCTTTCTGGGCCTCAGTTTTCACATGTGATCCTTTTAATTTTCAGTTTCCATGCCTGTGGTTGGTTATAAGTGGAAAATTCCACCTAAAATTACCTTATCTTTTGGAGTCAATATAAATCAAATTCATTCATGATTCAGTTTTATGATTTGCCTGAACTGTTTTCAATAGCTACTTTCTCAGAAGCACTGACTTGGTGACTGAGAAGCATGGATTTTTTATCTTTACGCAGACGACGTAAAATGAGAGCAGGCTGCTGGTGAGTGGAGGACCCAAGTCCCTTCCAGCACATGTACCAATAACCACGCCTGGTCACGAGCACACATTCCACTGCCCCCTGATGATGAGTGATCATCCTGTAGAAAGCTAGGTATGGATTTAGGTAAGAATTGCTTTCCAAATCTGTGCAGCTCCATGTCTGGTATGATGATGTGATTGATACATGTTGGCTGAATAAATGAATCTATCTGAGAGTCAGAGACAGAGTGGAAGACACACACACACAGAGTCAGTCACAAGTAAGGGACAATACTGGGGAAAGAGGCTTCTGAAGACAGATTTGATTATCCATGTGAAGGAAGCCTATAAATTCAGAGACCTCTTACCCAAAAAGAACTTAAAGGAAGAAACTGGGGAGCCTGCATGGTGAATAGTCCAAGCCCAAGATGGTTGTTTCCAACCCCTGCACTTACTTATTGAGGTTCTCCAGAGCAGCTGCCAGATGTTTAGAGTCAAACCGACAAGAATAATTTAATTCATTAGCAATCTGCTGTCGCAGAATCTGCATCTGCCCAACCTGTGAACAGCAAGAGAAGAGTAGACAGTACAGACACATACACGCACTTCAGAGTGATAGGAAGGAGGCAGACCCAGAGATGGTAATTTGTCACTGGAAGGATCACCACACTCCACAGAAAATCCTGAATGGCTCCACGCTCAGATGAGCACCATACCTGATGGAACAATTAGGGATCTGTCAAAGAACGTCTGAACAGACTCCTGGACTCCTGTGTGCCAACCTCAAAATACCAAAAGACCAAGCGTTACAAAACAATCCATTCATGTTCTGTTCATTTGTCAATGGTATCTTTTTGTGAAGTGTTTTTGGAATAACAAAGTTTAGACCTTGCCTCCTTATTGATATTAACCTGAACTTTCCCAGGTCCTAAGGATGCCACTACGTCATGCCAGTACTCTCAAATTTGGTGAATATAAGTCTGTCCATGTCACCACTACTACAGATCATGTAGTTATCTGGATTACAAAACAATCCGCGTAAATGTTCCAAGACGGCCTCTCTAAAAATGATAATCCCTTACTACGGGGGGTTCCCAACTTTTTTATGTACCTTGAGTCCCTTTGAGAATCTGGCAAAGCCCAGGACACCATCTCAGAATAGTGCTTTTAAATGTATAAAATAAAACAGACACAGAGGGTAACAGTGGAAACCAATGCAATGAAATATAACTATTAAAGTACTAAAAGAACAGATTCACGATACAGTTATGCTGACATGATGGATCAACTATGGTCATTCACAGTGGTGATGAGCATAAATAGTATTTGGAGACACCCAGAATGGCTGTTAGGTGATAGGAAGTGATTACCTGCTGTCTATAAATAAGAGATCTTTTAATTTATAGAAAAGTATTATTGAAAACTTAGAATAGGGCAAGGCCAAGGAAATAGTTCCCAGACCATTCAGAAATATCCCCCAAACCCTGTATCTGGCCTTGTGATTCCTTGCTTAATTCCCTATGTCTAGGATACTCTATGTCAAGGATTCTCTTCAAAATATAAATCTAGAAATGGAAACAAAGAAAGCCAGCCCACTATAACTTGTTCTCCCTTATTGTGTATGGGATCTTTGTGGCTGACATTTTCTATGTGGGGGCTCCCTTACGGCGAGCTTTAAAAACTCCTGAGCAGTTGAAGAGCCTGGGATGGATGATGAACTTAGTCGACCTATTCATTTGCTCATTTATAGATATGTGGCTTATCATTCTTTCTCCAAAATTTTTCTACAGTTGCACTGTCCACTAGCAACATGGGCCTAGTTAAACTTGAATTAGAATGAAATAAAATTAAAAATTCAGTTCCTCAGGACCACAGCCCACATCTCATGTGCTCAAGAGCTACATGTGGCCAGTAGCTGCTGTCACAAACATTTTTTATCATTGTGCCCCACTATTAACACTGGTCTGGTGACTGCAAGTTCCTTAATTCAAGACAAAAAAGAGAAATTTGTCCTTGGGGGCTTTGTTTAAAGATCACTGACTCACACAGTCAGTGGCTACTACAGAGTCCCCAGCAATCACAGACTGCCTATAGTCCCTCTTGGCCTCTTACAGAGTTGAGACTCAGGCCTGTCCAATCTCAGGTGACTTTTTAATCCTCCTACAAGATTTTCCAGCAATGAGGAACTCGGCCTAGAAAGTGTTCAACACCTGACAGTCATGTGGCCAGGGGAGCGTCAGGCCTGTGACACAAGAGCACACCAAGCAGAGCCCAGGGCTGCCATATTACTTATTCTGTTTGTTTAGTGATCCAAAGGAAAGGAAAAAAAAAAAAACCCTCCCTTTACCCCCTCCCCCCACCAAAAAACCCCATTTATCAAAATTATGGGCAATGTATGGTGAATGTGGCTGAAATACCAATGAGTACTGTCTCAATGAAGAACTTAAATAATTCAGAACAAGAGACTGGAATCTTCCCAAATTCTCTTAGCATTCTCGATTTTTCCTATGGCAGGTGATATTTTTAATTATGAACCACAGTTTTGCACCAGGAAATATATTGTTTCCTACTGGATTGTGAATAGGTTTTCTGAGGAGACAGGTAGCATTCTGTTTAACTCTGTCTCTCGGAGCAACTAACAATGCCTCGCACAGAATGGGTGGTCAAGAGGGGTTATCGAGTCTCTCGGATTATCGAGTGAGGAGAGAAGGGCACACAGAAGACGCAGAGGCCCCTGGGAACTTCTGCCACGGGGTGAGGGCAGGGAAATAGGTGACCAGATTCTAAAATAAGTTAGGCTTTGATCCAGTAAATTAAATCTTCATTCCTCGTTCTTATTTGTTTCCAAAGACAAAATGTTTTATTCATAATGTAGGGATAATTTATACCCTCAAAGAATGTGGCTTCCTAACGTCTATGCAGATACAAGAGTGGAGAGGGACACCCTGTTCTAATGGCCACTTAGAGCAGGTTCGGTCTGTAAAAATGACTTTGTTAGGGAAGGAGGACTTAAGACTGCAGGAGAAAAGATTCCATTTCCATGTGGGAAAGCACATCTGGGCATAAGGCATTTCAAAAAGAACCAGTTTTCTTGAGAAAAAGGAAAATAATATGCTCATACCAAGCCCAGTCAAGAACAGCTTCTCTGTGAGGGTGCTCCTGCCCCCCGCCTGGGCAGCAGAGGCCCTTTCTCTAAAACCAAACAAAGAAACCGCAAACCAAAATGAAAAAAGAACAGGTCCAGGAGGAAGATAAAAAAACAAGTGAACTTAAAAACAACAATAAAGTATAATATTCTCATTTAACTGACAATGAGGTGCTTTCTTTAGGTAATAAAGTTATAAGAAAATGAAAATTTTAGAAATATAGTGTTGATCATTGCCCACTCTCCCACAACATACCTTCATTATAGCGTCGAGATAAGCAGTCCAAATCTTCTGTGTTTTGGCAATGGCAGAAAAGTAAATTTTATTCGAATTTGCTGGAAAGTTAAACATAATTTTCTCTTTTAGTACATTCGAAAAGCCTACAGTGTTACCTCCACCTCAAGCTAATTTCAAGATACTTACCTACAATACTTTTTAGGGGGCTGACAGCATTCATGAGGGTTTTTAAAGTCTCCTGAACAGTTTTGTCTCTCAGGATAATTTTCTGAAACATACTGAGGAAATTCTAAAAACAAGAAGGCGTGATCAGAGGACCAAACTTAATGAATATCATGAATAAGTATGCCAGTAATGGAAAATGCTAGGTGGAACCAAGCCTCTGAACAGGACGACTGAGGAAAGCAGCTTCAGGTTCCCACTGGAAACATCCTCCAGGGGAGAGTTACTGGCTCGAAGATTAAAGAGTCTCACCTTCCTAAGGTGAGACTCACAAAAAACAGTCTAACCAGAAAGATACCAGGCTGACCAAAGAACTTCCAGTTTATTCTCAGTTGTTATCTACCTAACAGAAATCATATGTAGCTGAAGTCACTATAAAAAAGAGTACAAGAAAAGCTAAATGAACTTAATTCAAATACCCATCAAGATGTATTCTCATTTCTCCCCCCACACAGCAGAAAACAGGCATGAAAGTCAAAAGGCTCACCTGTAACTCTTTTACAATCATAAAGCAGAGAAGCCTGTCTAACCCATTCAGACCAAAAGTCCCCAAGGTGGTCTGGATTTCTGAGAAAAGGCGGCTGCTGGTCACCTCCTGGTGAGTTTTCATGTCATACCAAGTGTTCAGTTGGTCTATGTGACATGTCATTCTAAAATGAAAACAAAGCAAAAGCCCCACAGCAGCTCAGAATTCATCCTCAGGAGATGTGGGGCCACCAGGTTTGGGGGCAGCACATATGAAGTACAACAGTCACACAATTTGTGTTTTCCAACTTCCATCTCGGGTCCCACTCCGTGGACCAGTAAGGCCACTCTCAGTTAGGGCACCTTTCCCTGCCCCAAGCTGTGTCACGGTAGGAGCCATTCACTTCCACTGAGCTGTGGGGCTGATCTGGAGTCATGCTGAGAAGCCACCGGGTGGTTCAGCCCTGAGGCTGGAAGACTAGAGCCCGGATGTATCTCTGTGGAGACTTTCTCTAAATTTCCAGAGGCAGGGGACAACTGTGTCATTGCCATTTGGAAACAAAGGAACTTAGCAGCCTCACTCTCCATCTAACATTTGAGACTATGACGACAAACTAATTTGCTCTTTCTTCCTAGTTCCTTAAACTTGTAGATGCCATTTTCTGGTTATCTCCAGATGATTCCATTTTGACTCAGGAGCAAGACAATAACAATGGTAATGACCAAAACCAACAACACTGGCTGAGGTGGGGGCTCATGCCTATCATCCTAGCACTCTGGGAACTAGGAGGACTGTTTTCTAAAAGGGCTTCAGTGACTGGACCCAGGGGTACCAAGAGAGGAGCTGCTACAAAACCTTTTGGATCATGTACTTTTTTCTACCCACCAGTCCTGAACAAAATTCCTTATTTCTGTTGATAATTCTAGAAGAAGTTTATATATGGTTTGTCAACTTTCATGTTTTTGAGAGACAAAATAAGCCTGGATTAGAAGGTAGTACAAAGGATCCCGGTCAAAAGAACATTTAATTCACACAACTTGAACTCCAAGCATAGCTAGAGAGAGAAAGAAGAGGATTGCTTTTTCCTGGGCAATTCCACCAGCTATTCTACTCAGTGACCCAGGCCCAGGGGAAAACAAGAGCCAGCGGACACGAGCCCACACTTTCCTCAGTTGGTGTTAATACCACCTGCTTTGTCTGAGGCTCAGCTGAAGAAAAAGAAGGGGCTCAGGTGGACTGACTGAGAGGCAGCACGCTGCTCTCTGCTCGGTGCTTACCTAAAATAGTCTCGAGAGTCTTTATTATGAGACTTTCACCCAGATCCTGCTGCGTGCAGAGCCCATGTGACCCACATGTAGATGGGACATGCTGTATACAATGCCTGCCCCTGAACAGTGCAGTGCTTAGGAGCTGGGCCCAGAGTCAGAGAGCCTCGTGTGTATTTTAGGTCCTCCATTCATTAACTGCGTGTGTGATCCTGAGCAGGTGACTAAGTAGCTTTTCTGTGTCTCAGTTACTTCATCACCTTTCTTTATTTTATTTTACTTTTACTAAATCATAGTTGTGTACAATAATGCATTAATGGGGTACAATGTGCTGGTTTTATATACAATTTGAAATACAACAAACTGATTAATATGGCCTTCACTGCACTTTCTTAATTATCGTGTTAAGACGTTTATAATCTACATTTAGTAGGTAGGACATGTACCCTTGTAAATTCATCATATTTCCCCTGAGAATAACAGCAATGCCTGCCTTGTAAGGCTGCTGTGATGAGTGAATGAATGGATGTGTGTGAGGTGCTGTCCAGAGCGCAAGGTGAGTGCTCCATAAGTGGCAGCTGTGACTGTTACAGTGCTTGAATGTTGGGCTAAGAAATAAGGAGAAAGGAGGTCATCTGAAAGGCTGGATTTGAGTTGGCAAGTGCAAGCCCTAGTGACGGGACTAGGGGGATGTGCTGCAGTGCCACAGGTACAGGGAGACTGTCCGTAGTGTGCAGGGCTCAGGAGAATGCAGATACACCTACTTCGGGTCTGTGATGCGCAAGATTTCTCTGCAGAGTCGACCAATAAATGTCACGGATTCATCCACAGGGGTAAACTTTGGTATTGGGATATGGGTAGATTGGTACATACTTTGCCAGTCTTGAATCTAGAAAATAAAACCATATTTTAGTGCCTCTTTGACAAGGTAACCTGGTTATCCTTTCCTCCCATAATTTTACGAAGGTATTATTGCATGAAGAGTGATAATAAATGTTCATTGATTTTGAAGAATGAATATCTAAAACTACATTAAAAGCTTCCCAGAAATTCCACATGTAACATTTATGAAAAAAGAAATGTTTGTGGAAAAGTGAAGTGATGAAGAAGTGAGAAGAGCCCCGGGAACTTCTGGCTGTTTGTCTTATGAGTTGACATGCACCAGTGTAATATAACAATCCAAACCACCACAAGGTTGGAAAACACTTAATCTTTTGAACATGTCACCCACCCCGCGTCAGTTCCCTACATGGAAACTTGCAGAGTGTCTCCTTATTATCTCCTGACTAAAATCAAACTTCTCAGCATTGCCCTGATAATTCTGATGCTCTTTTTTTACCCATGGGGAAAATGGGCAAAAGAGTTTAGTACTCCTTTTTCTAAAGATGGTATACAAATGGCCAATATGCACGGGAAAAGAGGCTCAACATCGTTAGTGATTAGGAAATCAAAGTAAAGCAACAATGAGATATCATTTCACCAGCACAGGGGGTTCTAATTAAACAAAAGGAAAGGGTTAAGTGTTGGTTAGGACACAGAGAAACTGGAGCTCTTACACTGCTGATAGGGATGTAAAATGGTGCTGTCACTGAGGAAAACAGTTTGGGAGTTCCTCAGTAGGGTGAACACAGAACAACTACGTGTCTCAGCAATTCCACTCCGAAGTGTATAATCTGATCAAACCTCACTGGAAAAGTCCTAAGTTTTTTAAACTCCCGACCACTTGGGTTACAACAATTACAACAAGCGGCTGGAGCCACTGAGCAAAGGCTGCCAGAAAGGACAGTCAAGTGCCATGTCATCTCTTCTGCAGTCTTCATGGTTCCTGAAGGTATGCGGATGGTACTGATTTTAGTAACTACTTAAATAAACTTTCTTGGGGGCATTTCTGAGGCTTGGAGTATATACTTTAAATGTGAGAAACAAAAAATACAGTCAAGGATTTTAAAATGTATTAGATACCTTTGTTCTTAAGAAGTTATTACATTCTTGTTCCACATTGTAGTTTATGATACGAGACACCTCTTCTTGCCAAATCTTCAGACCGTAAATGTTGACGTAGTCCTGTATATATTCAAAAGAACGATGGAATCCATCCATAGTCGCTCCCAGCTCTTTCAGCTTAGGCATCAATTCACTTGGCTGTGCAAAAGGGAAAATGTTAATCTATTATATTGGAGGAGACTGTCAACCACCACATTAGACTCTAGGCCTATTTTTTGTGTGTCCAGAGGAAAATTACCTTATTTCCTAACAGATTAAGCAAAATAAATAATTATAGCCTTTACTTTTCCTGTCTGCTTTAAGGTTAAAAAAATTCTTTCTTTTCTTTTCTTTTGAGACAGAGTCTCACTATGTTGCCTTCGGTGGTGCTGTGGCATCACAGCTCACAGCAACCTCGAATTCTTAGGCTTAAGTTATTCTCTTGCCTTAGCCTCCCAGTAGCTGGGACTATAGGCACCTGCAACAACACTTGGCTATTTTTTTAGTTGCAGTTGACATTGTTGTTTAGCATGTAACCACCAGCCTCGGTGCATATGGTTGGCGCCATAACCACTGTGCTATGGGCACCAAGCCAAGGTTAACAAATTCTTTTAACTGTAGTAAGTAACTATGAGTCGTAAATATCAGTTCAGTTCTTAAACTGGGGGATTGACAATTATAGGAAAGAAATACTGGTTTTAAAAAGGATTTTCTCATCATAGAAATGGATCATAGATAAAAAGCATATTAGTTGCTCGTATTGAAAATCACAGATGAGATATACACTAGCTAAGAGGAAAGGTCTAGTCCATGACTGGTTAAAAACTCTAGTCTATGCTGCGAGGTGAGTAGAAAAAAAGGTGCATTTAGAGTGCCGGGTACCTTGGCTCGAGGGTTGAATATCAGCCCCCTATGAAGGGCGAAAGCAACACGCTTAACAAGCTCCTTCCGGATTCCATCTTCCAGCAACTGCTTTGGATCCACCTAAGCACAAGAAAAGATTATTAACTGGCAGTTAGGAAAGATTCAGTCCTGAAGAAATCCAGAGGAAAGGTGATGGCCAGGATCCATCGCAGAGCATTTTCCTACCTCATGTCTAAATGGTTATACATTTTTCCTTTCTTGCTGCTATGTGATCTTGTACATAGTTTGGACAGAACTGTTAAACCAATCATCTTTCGAAGACTCTGTTTATCCCAGAAAAATTCATGATGACACTTTTACAACATGGTATGTCAAAGATGGTGAAAATGTTAAGTTTTAAAGGGCCTCGTATTCTAATTATTTCATTAAAAGTAAAAAGATCCTGTTCTTATCACCAGGAGGCGGTGTGGGATGAAGGGCCTAGTTCAGATGATGTTATCTCAGGGTATCTTCATCCATAGGAACAAACTCAAGTTTGGGGTTGGACCACTTTCTAAATTGAAAAATTCTCTTTCCCTTCAGCACTCCTAGAATGCTGTTTCTAATTTGGGAGATAAAATAGAAAATCGAATCTACTATCTAATACTATTAGCTTATTTTGCTAATTTTTTCCCCTGTAATGTAAAAAGATTCTATTCCCTATAAAACAGTCTGCTATCAGATCCACAAAAAATCAAGTGGTTTTAACATCCTCCCTTAAATTCCCTGAGACTCATTCTTTTTTTTTTTTTATATTTAATGGTCTTGTTATTTATTTATTTTTGCAGTTTGGCTGGGGGTGGTGTTGAACCTGCCACCCTCAGTATGTGGGGCCGGCACCCTACCCACTGAGCCACAGGCGCCACCCCGAGACTCATTCTTTTTAATTTGTAAAGAATCATTATTTTAAAAAGTCATAAAGACAATTGATGAGTTCTCTCTGGCTTTATATTTAAACGTCAAATAAGACAATTTTGCAATGGGAGTTGCAGAGAAATATTTTGAACTACATCAAGACTATGCAATCAGCAAAATGGACACAGTGTAGAAAGTCAAGGTGAAATGCACCAGGCTTGTTAACAAATAAGTTGTAAGAAAAAGAAAAAGGAATGGATAAGAAATCTGTAGATTAAAAAAGGACTTAAAAGACCCAACTGAAAAAAAAATCTTTAGTGTCTAGAGATTTACCCTTAGATAAGGAAACTATGGAGCACCTGAGACTGGTCAGGACACATGATGGGGATTCCAGAGTGGGGCTGGCTCAATCCTATTTTTTTCTTTTTTCATTTTGAGACAGTGTCACCTTGTCGCCCTTGGTGGAGTGCCATGGCGTCACAGCTCATAGCAACCTCAGACTCTTGGGCTTAAGTGATTCTCTTGCCTCAGTCTCCCAAGTAGCTGGGACTACAGGTGCCCATCACGATGCCCGGCTATTTTGTTGTTGTTGTTATTGTTGTTTAGCAGGCCCAGGCCAGGTTTGAATCCACCAGCCCCAGTGCATGTAGCTGGAGCCCTAACCACTGATCTACAGGCACCAAGCCATTCCTATTTCTTGACTTATGGACTGGTTAGAATGAGTGGTATTTACAGTAACCCAATAAACTACATCATTATTTCTGCCGTTTTCAGTATCTATGATTTTACATAAAAGGCTAAATTATAAAAATATAGGCTTGGTGCCCGTAGCTCAGTGGTTAGGGTGCTGGCCACATATACTAAGGGTGGCAAGATCAAGCCCGGCCCAGGCCTGCTAAACAACAAGGACAATGATGACAAAAAATAAGTGTGTGTTGTGGTGGGCACATGTAGTCCCAGCTACTTGGGAGGCTGAGGCAAGAGAATCACTTTAGCCCAAGAGTTTGAGGTTGCTGTGAGCTGTGACACCATGACACTCTACTGAGGGTGACATAGTGAGAGAGACTCTGTCTCAAAAAAAGAAAAAAAAAGTCAATGAGTACAAAATCAAAGAATTAATATGAACTTTTCTTTTTTTCTTTTTTTTTTTTTTGAAACAGAGCCTCAAGGTGTCCCCCTGGGCAGAGTGCCGTGGCATTACAGCTCACAGCAACCTCCAACTCCTGGGCTCAAGCGAGTCTCCTGCCTCCGCCTCCCAAGTAGCTGGGACCACAGGCGCCCGCCACAACGCCCGACTATTTTTTGGTTGCAGCCGTCATTGTTGTTTGGCGGGTCTGGGCTGGGGATTCGAACCCGCCACCTTAGGTGTACGTGGCTGGCGCCTTAGCCGGTTGAGCTATAGACGCCGAGCCTAATATGAACTTTTCAAAGAAATATTCCTTATAAGAACAGATTAGTGAAAAAGAGTTGAGTGTTTTCAGGAATCTAAAGGTCACATGGCTCTTCTGGTTCTTCCTGAATTTCTATCATCGCTGGAAGTGATCACAGCCATAAGAAAGCCGTCTTCACACCGCTCCTTCCACACATTTCTATTACCCTCTCCCAAAGTCAACAACAGTTCACGGTTTTCATATGGATCTTCTAGACCTTTATTCATTTATACACATAAATACTCGACCTTAAACACACATTAATTTCAAAAGTCCAAATCTAATGATGTAGCTAATGTTGTTGCTGTTCTGCAGTAGCTCTTTTCATTTTCTATCTTGGTAGCTGTCCAGTGACAAATTCTTTTTTGAATGGCTGTGGACTCCATTGCAATAATGTACCATGATATACATATTTAGCCATTTCCCCTACTGATGGATTTTGAAGTACAGATGCTGCTTGATTTACAATGAGGAAACATTCTGATAAACCTAACTTAACTTGAAAATGTCATTAAGTCAAAAATGCATTTAATGTACCTCATCTACTGAGCATCATAATTTAGCTTATACTAGCTTTTATGTGGTCAGAACTTACATTAACCTGAAGTTGGGCAAAATCAACTAACACAAAGTCTATTTTATAATAAAGTATTGAATAGTTCATATAATTTATTGAATACTATACTGAGAATAAAAACCAGGTAGAGATAGTATAGGTACAATCATAAAGTTGAACGGTTGTAAGTCAGGGACCGTCTATCTGTATTCCTTTCTTTTTGTTTTTTGACCGCCTCTAACAATGATACTTATATGTATATCTGTGAATCTCACTTGTTTAAAATGAACCTATTTCATAAATGTTTGAAATGTATCCTAATGTTCTGAAGTTAAAGGTTACTGAGGGCTACAGGACCCCTTCCAGAAGTCCTGACTTGTTCTTGCTACCTGGCAGTGGGGGTCTACTGGGTTGAATGGGGTCAGTAGGATATTCCTTCAGATCTTATCATCTGAAAGACTGTGGGGAAGGATTTACCTTTTATCAAGTCGTTTTTCTTTTGATAATTATTACAGCTAATTACCTGCATTAGGCTCTATTATATCCTTTCTATTCTGGTCCCTTTGCTGTCCTAAGATTTATCATCCTGTGTATCATCCTTCATTAATAAAAAGTGAGTGACTTTCACAAGCATTCTTTGCCCATCAACTGAATTAAACTGGCATCAGATTAACATCTGTTCAGCAGATCCTGTTCATATTCCAAGGGCTACAATGTTCTTTCTGTCAGCATATTTCCAGAAAATACACACCAGAGTTTCATTTCTATTTAAGTTCACTTCCTGTAGTTTCTTGGATTTTAGTAACACAAATGTTAAACTGGCAATTCAATAGCTATCCTTATGAAAGTTAGGAATGTGGGGGCCTGGGTCCCCGCAACCTTTGCCAGGTCTGTACTGAGGGCAGCTGATGTGAGAAAAATCTCAGCCTCACTTATCTCAGGTGAAATAAAAGTTATTGTAAACAAGGTGCTTCATGTAATCATGAACAATAAGAAGAAGGGAAACAAAGGACAGGAAAATCCTGCAGACACACTGTGTGATTCCAAGTTACACTTTACAAATTGGGGGTAAACTTGTCTAACTCACTTCAGTGATTTCTATCTATACCTGGGCCACACTCAGGCGATAGTAATCTTTGATTGCTAGGCATTCTGTTCTCAGTTACCACATAACCAGGTAACAATTGGGCCATCTGTGGCCCCTGAAAAAGGGGGGGGTCCAGGATCCTGGACTGTGATCAACAGGACCCCCAGAATCCCAACCCTGAGCCTGCCAGGTGCCAGACACCCTGTGTAGACCACCAGGCTGTTGTTATCCTTCCAGGGTTTGAGAAATTCAACAAGCCCTCCAGAGATGCCTGGCCTAAACCACACTAGAAACCTGATTCCCACAGAGGACTATTCATGTTGGGGACCTAAACCCTTCACACTCCTCCTCTTCTCTGAGAACAAAAGGCCTACTTGGCCCCACCCCAAAATTACTGCTGCAAAGTAATTTGTCCACCAGAACCTTCCAGAAAGCTGTGGAATCTTTCTCCCCTTACACCCAGTTTAAAAAAGCCTCCAACCACCCTTGGTGCAGATGCCATCTTTGCCCAGGTCTCTGTCCCCTTTCATTAAACTTGGCCTGAACCTCTCCTGGTCTCATGTCTGGGTACACTGCCAAACCTCTTTCAGTTCAGAATCTACTGAACTAATAAATCAGATAAATGGAAAAGTCAATAAAAGCACCGTGAACTATGTGAATGGGGACATCACTAGTCATGGCAGCATTCCAAATTAAAATAGCAAAGAGATGCCACTGTCTATCTCTTGGGATGGCAAAAAGTAGAAAATGGATGTTGGGAGGCTGAGGCAAGAGGATCGCCTGAGCCCAAAAGTTTGAGGTTGCTATGAACTGAGATGCCACAGCAGCTGGACAATAGTGAGGTTTATATCAAGAAAAAGAAAACAGAAAGGAGGAGGATAATACCAAGTCGTGGAGAAGATCTAAACAGATACACTAGAAACAACCTTTTCAGAAGGCAATCTGGCAGCACTGTGGTGAAGGCAGTATGAATAGGCCCTAAGTTCCAGTGGCCCGGCTCAGTGCCTATGGCTCAAGTGCCTAAGGCACCAGCCACATACACCCAAGGTGGCGGGTTCGAATCCAGCCCGGGCCCGCCAAACAACAATGACGGCTGCAACCTAAAAATAGCCGGGCGTTGTGGCGGGCGCCTGTGGTCCCAGCTACTTGGGAGGCTGAGGCAGGAGACTTGCTTGAGCCCCGGAGTTGGAGGTTGCTGTGAGCTGTGACGCCACAGCACTCTACCCAGGGGGACAGCTTGAGGCTCCTGTCTCTCAAAAAAAAAAAAAAAAAGTTCCAGTGGCCCACTCCTGGGGATATCAATCTCAGAGGAATTGTTGCACAGGTCTGGCGTGCACAGGTCATGCTCAGAGATGCTCCATCGTGACACTGGTTGTGACAATGGGAAGCAAAGGTGTCTGTCCCCAGGGATGGTTAAGTAAAATGTGGAATTCTACACAGCAGAAAAGAGTAAACAACTATCTGACCTATAGCAACATAAATACAAGTCAAAAGCAATAACCAATGAGAAAAGATGGGAAAAGATGAGACTTAGAGCACAATAAGATTTGGATAAATCAAAAACATGCACACATAAAATAATGCCATACGCTAAAAGTGATACTTGCATATATCAAATGCACACAGTGGGAGCTATGGGGAAGGCAAAGGGAGTGGGGACCCAGGAGAAGGAAAAAAGACAAAAGAGTGGAGCGTGCACGCATCAGTGATGACCATGATCTGTGGACAGAGAGGGACACAGTTATCTTAGCTCTCCCTACCTGGTGTGTAAAATAAAATTACTAAAAAGGGTGGGGAGAGAGAGGGAGGGAAAGAGAGAGAGAGACAATGAGAGAGAGACAGAGAGAGAAAAGCAATTTTCCCAAGGAAACTGAATCATTTTGCTTTCCATGCTTTTACAAAAATTCAATGAAACAGATTTTCTTAGACTTAAAAACTCTTGGGTAAAAGTTACCAGTAATGCACATTTTCTCTAAAAGATAAAGAAACTCCAAGGCTATACCATAAGACTGTCTTCAAGTATTAGCAGAAATAAAGATTATAATGCTCTCTCTTCCTTAATCAATAAATGAGTAAAACAAAGATCAAAATCAGAACATGAAACCACAGATGATATCACTCCCTGTTCTACACATGACAATTACTGAGAAAATCTAAACAGTGAGGCCAGAGGACCAGCACCAAAATCGTTACCTTGATGATGCCAACCAAAGTCGTCTTCATCATTAAGATGCCTTCCGTAAAGATGGAAATAGCGTGAGTGAGCTTGGCAACCTTTAACAAAGAGAAAGAGGTACAATACAGTACTTCAGATAAAAGACCTAATATTTCTGTAGAAAGCTGAAAACACTGGGTGATATGGGCCAAGATAATGAAAATGAGAATGTAGCTTTAGGACATTTGTGCCTACAGAAATGAGCCTCTGTGGTAAAGACCACAGTCAGAAACTCGGGTAACCGAGTCAGGAGACATCAACTGGTTCTTTTTTTTTTTTGAGACAGAGCCTCAAACTATTTCCCTGGGTAGAGTGCCATGGTATTACAGCTCACAGCAACCTCCAACTCCTGGGCTCAAGCGAGTCTCCTGCCTCCGCCTCCCAAGTAGCTGGGACCACAGGCGCCTGCCACAATGCCCGGCTATTTTTAGGTTGCAGCCGTCATTGTTGTTTGGCGGGTCCGGGCTGGGGATTCGAATCCGCCACCTTAGGTGTACGTGGCTGGCGCCTTAGCTGGTTGAGCTATAGGCGCCGAGCCCATCAACTGGTTCTTTAATGTCTGACATGGCGTCTCTCCTTCTATAGGCTTCATTTCCCATGTCTAATATGAAAGTCAGAACTCACTGAGAAGGACGGTTCCTTCCAGCTAGAAAAGACCAGTAGACACTCTGGAAAGGTAACTTCCTCTTCACCGGCATCCACCTTCTTCCCAAGCAACACCGGCGGCGTTGGCAAGGCAGACAGATGCGGTATTTCATCAGAAGTAAGGCAGAAATACCAAGCTGGATAATCTAAATCCCTGATGTTTTTTTTTTTTGAATTGTGTCACAGGAAAGGGACACTGAACATCACATTTTCAATTTTCATTTGATTTTACTTTTCATGTCTTTCAATTTTTAGTTCAGCGAGAAAAACACAGAGGTGTTTGGGTTCAGGAACAATCTCTGAGGATGCTTCCCTATTAAGTGGCTTAAAATTTGTCTATAAGAATGGTAAATGAAATATACATTACTCTGAGCCATCGGTTTAGTATACTATGCAGGAAGAAGAATATGAAAAGTCTCAGTAATCTAGCTCAAAGAAAACAAGGGCTGATTATGAAGGCTGGTCTAGAGAACAGTAACCAGCTGAGCTCCATTTCCACTGACAGCGCTGGGGGGAGCAAGGTCCTCAATGATGCCAGGGAAATGTCAAGAAAAAAAGTGTGATTGTACTAAAGTGGTAAACCACGGCTATCACTGGGCATGTGCAGAAACAAATCAGAATTGATCTGGTGGTCCCTGGAATATGGCAGACAGCACAGACCAGGGATATTTCATGGTTTTCAGTTTTAAATACCAAAGGGACACGGCACCTCGTATCGTGGGCCAAGCTGAGCATAGTCCCTCAGCTTGTCTTTGTCCAGGCGGGTCGGCACTTCAATGATATCGTGGGTCTGAAGCTTTATGATCTTTAGAAGAGATGTAAACATGCTTTCTGGAATGATCTGCAAAACCTTTAGTGAAAGGAAAGGAGGGAATAAAATTAAACATCTGTGTTTCTTAGCTGACCAATATTAGGATGACAGAGGGTGCTGATTTGATTAAGAGACTTTGCCTGTATCAACACATTACATGTATCCTATAGATATATATAACTATTATGTACCCATAATACCTAAAAATAAAAAAGTAGAAGGATACTGGTGTGTACAAACAGTCATTTGTCTATAGGAAGGGATGCCAAGAAACTGCAAAGAGTTGTTCTGAATGACTGCTAGCAGGCGCAGGGCTCCACGGTTTCAGACGTTAATGGCTCACAGAATATAAAGCGAATCCTAGAAATGCTGCAAAAGAATGTATCACTTCCAGATTACAGCTTTTAGAAAGACTGGATGTTCAAAGACGTTAAGTAACATCACTGCAGACCACTCAGCTAGTATGCAACACAGATAAAATGTGAATTCAGGCCTGTCGAGTTCCATGCTCCATTATAAGTCCTTAAAACAAGGACCAAAATTCCCATGAAAACTTGAATTAGGTTCTGACGAGAATATTTTAGATCTGGACCTTTTACCCATTAGCTCTGTGATTTTGAAGAAGCCACTGTAATCTCTGCTTCTTACTTTGCTACATCTGTAAAATGCAGGTTAATAACATCAGCATTTATAAAAATAGAAATAAAAGTCCTTTGCAAGTAAAACTGCATCTATATGTCCAGAGTAGCACTAAGAATTTTTATTCCGGGGTATTGCAAATTTCTGGAATCAAATTTTAAAGAGGGGAAGGGACACGGGTGGACTTTGTACAGGGCTCCACGTGCACCTTTTGTGTTCAGCCACAACACATCTTGATGCATTTCTCACCTTCCTTACGTACGACACCAGCTCGCCAGAATAATACTGAGACACACTCAGGAGGTCGGGGCTGTTTGCTTGATTAATACGAAGAAGGGGCAGATCAAGGGCAGAGGCAAGCTGGAAGAGAAGAACAGTATCTGTTTCTCTGTTTCACAGAAGTCCTACAAATCTCTCTCTTTCAAGAAAATGTAACATACAAACAAACACTTGGGCTTTACCCAGTAGAGGGCAAAAACTGCCAAATCTTATCAATACCATTAATAGTTTCTCATAATACAATTTTTAAAAAATTGAGCTACCTGTTCTCAAATTGTGCTCCCTGGACCAGCAGTATCAGCATTACCTGGGAACTTGTTAGAAATGCAAATTATTGAGCCCACCCCAGTAGGATAATTAACAGTGGGAGTACATCAGAAACTCTGATGGGGCAGGGCCCAGCAATCTGTGTGACAACAGGCCCTACAGCAGATTCTGATGCATGCTTGAGTCTACAGGAGACAACTCTCCTGCGTGGCCATCAGACATTGTGCACGATGGCTTATTCAATCTTTCCAATCTAAGATGCCATCAAGTGTAAGTGCCATTCTATGTGCCACTTTACATCCCACTCAGAAAGAAAGAAAATGCGGACAACTAAATTATGATGTTATAAAATTCACCCCTAATTAAAGAGATTTTAAAACATAAAAAAAGTATATCTCAGAGTTGATACATATGGTAACTCCGTCAGAAGACAGGGAGTAAACTATTCATTTGTCAATATATTACCATCTCAAATTAACCTTGAGAGCGAGGGCTGTGCCTGTGTTCATCACTGTTCCCTCACCGTGAGAGGAAATGCCAGGTCTCCGGCAGTGCCTCAGTAAGAATTTTTGAACGACTAAGTAGACGGAATTAATTCATGTTTTTACCTCATTTCTAGTGAGGTAAAAAAAGAAGCCTATTTCTGAATTCATAAAAAATATTCTGTAAGGCACTCCAGCTTATATTATTAATTCAAACTTCATTTTTGGTATTTTATGAAACTATGCTGCCATGGAAAAATTGCTAACAATTTTCAGTCTATTAAAATACTTAAATTATCCAACTTTCTAAAAAGATGAAATTGTGGGAATTGTGAAATGAATGCGGTAAGAATGAAGGCCAACTCTCTCTAGTAACAGAATCTGATCTCATTCCCTATTTTCTGCTTACCTTTAAGAATGTAGCTCTGAGTTTGGTGACCATGGATGGGTTTACCCTTATGCTTTCCTGCATTATGGAAGTGAAACTGTAAAAGAGGAAAATGGTAAAAAGATGTTCCTACTGGCCTTGGTCAAGAGCGAATGTCATCTGCCCCCATTACCTGTCAATTAACTGCCAAGCATAAGAAAGGTCCCCGACGATCTGCATCGTAATCAGAACCTCCTCTTTAATGTTAATGGTTCTGATCATTTGATGGAGAAACTTGCGAGTATCGGCAAGAAACTGACATACTTGAAGATTGGATTCCAACTGGTGGAATTCTTGGACCTGAGTAACATAAATACATTTCATTTAAACATTCTAAAGGACCTCTATGGTGCTCAAATTATTTTGAAAATACTTCAAAATAAAGCATACTATTTACTAATAATTTCTTGATAAGATTTTTACTTCAAATTATAATTTCAAATATAAGCTGAAGTTCCTGGGATTAGAAAATATTCAACTGCTTATTATCCCAGACACAGGGGACATCATAAATGATGACTCTCATTTTCCATTTTACTATAAATAAACACACATGGAAAAACCCTCTTAGTTCTGAAGGTTTGCAGGAGTGCTAAAAAAAATAAGTTACATAATAAGTTACTTTTCAACCAATGTGTTGGTACTTATATAAGTTATTTTCATATGCTCTTTAAAACAAAATAATCATTCCACAGTATCTGAAATTTTATGTGTATAACTCAAGAGACCTGAGCTACATGCCAAAATAAATAAGGCAAGTGATAAAAACATTCAAGATTTACAAAGTTTACCAACGTACTACAGACTAGAAAATCCAAAGAACGGGCAAAGTGGAACTAGTACAAATGTGCAATTATTCTGGAATGAGAATATGTGGTACGCTAACAACAGAGTATTATGCTGTGCTGCCATTTATAGAGCCCATCCAAAAAACTGGCAGAAATTTAAAAAAGCCTATAAGAAAGTCTTCCATTCAAATGAAAGCTGGCATGGCAAAAAAAAAAAAAAAGTCTGCCCAGTGAAAAAAGTATTAATTATATGTAATCATACTAACTGCCTAGGGTTATATTAATATATTGAGTAAAGATGATGTTTTAAATTATAAAAGTCACGGTTATTCTGATGATTTTAGTTTCCATTCTTAACTTAAGCATATAACACAAAATTTTAATATTGGTAAGGTATAATCATTCTTATAATACAGTCATTTTGGAGAGTGGATTATTGCTTGAGGTTAAGACCAGCCTAAGCAAGAGCAAGAGACTTCTCTCTACCAAAAATTAAAAAATTAGCTGGTTATCATGCCAAGTCCCAGCTACTTGGGAGGCTGAGGCAGGAGGATGACTTGAGTGCAGGAGTTTGAGGTTGCTGTGAGCTATGATGCCGCCACTGCATTCTACCCAGGCAACAGAATGAGACCCTGTCTCACAAAAAACAAACAAACAAAAAACCCAACAGAAAGAAAATACACCACTTTCAAGCATGTGATCATTATAAAATTATTTTCATTTCTGTGTATTCCTGTCCAGTTTTTTCCCCAAGCACACACTTTTATACAAATATTAAAATGGTGCACATGTACCATTTGTTTTGCTTTCTCCCGTTTATCACAATCTACCCAATCTTTCTATATTGTTTTCATAATTATTTTTCCAAGTTTCCTCACATTAAAATACCACCATTTTTGCTACCATTCTCTTCATGCTGGTCATTTAGTTATTTCTCCAAAGTTGGGACACTGCATATAATATTACAGGAAGCATATTAATTCACTCTGCTTTTGCTTCTGAAGAAATGTTCTGGTAGATACAGTTGTAGGAGGAGTTGGCTGGGTGGGTCACAGGTAGGATTCATGATCCAAGAACTGCCGTTTCCAGAGTGTTCCCTTACCTCCTCCAAAGCTTGTATTAACTGTACAGTTTTTCTGCCTGCAGCAGTAGAATCATCATAATTTAAAGATGATATTTGTTTCGAGATCTCTCTGAACCACGCTTGAAGATTTTCTGTTAATAGAGAAACAAGGAAAGACTACTCAAAATTCAGAATAGCCTTAGCTGTGGCTTTGAATTTAATTAAATCATCTTTCACAAATCCAGTTCTTAACTTACAGAGCTTTTTACTAGGGGCCTAACACTGCTTGTAGGAATTCTCCAAACAACAAAAACTTCTGAAGCATGTGACATAGTAGGAGAGATTAAATTTTCCACATGAATAGCTCAGTCTACAACACTTGGCAGAAATGGATTAAAGGCTCAAGTCCATGTGGTAACGGGTAGGTGCAAAGGCGGTAGTGGGTGTGCAGAGGAACTGGACGGAACTGAAGGAGGTAACCCAGTTCAAGGAGAGTTTTCTGGAGGAGAGAGGATGGGTAAAGATCTGGATAGTCAGAGAAATAAGAAGAGTATTCTGTATTCTATCTAGATAAAAGACAGTTACAGGCAGAGGCTTTAAGGTAAGAATTACAGTGGCATGTCTTGGAGGGTAAGGAGAGTAAAGTGTCTGCAGTGGGAGGTGTGAGGGGTGAGGTGCAGGCAAGTCTGAGCTTAGCAGGTGCCATCTGCATCCACAACCCAGTAGAGAGAAGGAGGGAGTCAACATGCTCTGGCACCCTCTCTGGGTCAGGCAAAGTTCTCAGCTTCAGCTCATTTAATCTTCACAGCAATCTATGGAGGTAGAAATGAATGGCTATTTCTCAGATAAGGAAGCTGCTGCTCTGAGGTTTTCAGCGGTAAGCCAGGATTTTCACCACTGTCTGTCCAGGTTCCAAAGTTGGCACTTTTCACCTCACCAAGTTGATTCCCTCAAGTTGTTTCTTTGTTTTGTGTCTTGTTTTTTGCTTATCAATGGGATGGTTTCACTTTACTTAGAGGAACTGATGATTTATAATTTAAGTTATTTCAAGAATTAGCACAAGAGACACTTGTAATATTAAAAATTTTGTGTAGGACTGAGAGACAGTGACGCAGTAGCACAAGGAGTGCAAGCCTGGAGACTGAGGAGATAAGCGCAACCCAGGAGACTCTACGTTCAGTAAACACTGACGTTTTTAAGCTTCAGGATAAAATAAGGATTAAGATATTCATCTCACAGGGTGATAAGAAGCAAATGAGAAACATCGAAACTGTAAAGGCATTGTTCCAATGACTTCTGAAATAATTCCGGCATTTATAAGGATAAAGGAAACAGTCACGGAGATTAATGCACTGATTCTAGCCAATCTAGTTAGATTATTACAGGTGGTTTCTGTTTTTTCTTGATCTAAAAATACTACAATATGGTGATTTCTAAGGCACTGTCAGTTTTATATCACATCAATATAAACTGGCTGACTTTCCTAATAAAAACAATAATATAATTTGGAAATATATTTTAGATTACCTACTCAGTATCAAATACATAAACAAAATTCAAAATATAGAAATCATAGACTTATATTAAAAATTATAAAGTTTTAAAATAAAAAGCTACACTATTAGGCAATTCTACTGTGTAATTAACTTCATCAGAAATGAATCTGATAGTTAAACATCAAGCATTAAAACAGTTTAATTTTGGCTGAGTGTGGTAGCTTACACCTGTATCCTAGAGCTCTGGGAAGCCAAGGCAGGTTGATCCCTTGAGCTCAAGAGTTTGAGACCAGCCTGAAGAAGAGTAAGACCTTGTCTCTAAAAATAGCCAGGCATTGTGGAGGGCACCTGTAGTCCTAGCTACTCGGGAGACTAAGGCAAGAGGATCGCTTGAGCCTAAGAGTTTGAAGTTCCTGTGAGCTGTGATGCCATAGCACTCTACCCAGGGCAATGGAGTGTGACAGTCTCAAAAAAAGAAAAAAAAGTTTAGTTTGTCATATTAAAATTCAAAATTTTTTTTTTGGAAGCAATTTGCAAAGTTCTTATTCATAAGGATTTGAAATGATGCTGAAATGTTTCTGTAGATAGAAGCTCCTAAAAGAAGCAGGATCAAAATTATCAAAGAAAAATGAGCCCTTTCCTTTTAGAAATAGTATGCAGTTCCCCTCTTCTGTCACTAGATGGGTACACTAGTGAACAAGGACTGAGCAAGACGCGAAGACCGGAATCTTACATATTATGCACGCTGGTAGTTAGTGATATTTTTGGGTGATGGGAATCCTTCCCCCACCTCCACATGCACATAAACTGATACATCAGTTTTGGAGACCATGGAGGCAGAGGCTGATATGACTCTCTCAACTATGTAAACCAGAGTTACAAGTTTTAGTTTAGCCTAACCTCTTATTTCAAAGATAAGATATGAAGCCTGAAGTCCAGATGGATATGAACATTGCCCATGGAGGCACAAAACTAGAGGCAGCCAAAACTAAACTTCAGATCGCAATCAGCAATGCTAAAAAAGGACATCAACGCGTACAGTGATGTTAACACGAAGACTTTTATACCCTTCCAATTTCCAAATAATTTGCATATACATTTCAAACACACCAATATTTCCTCTTCAGCAATTACCATTTTTCTCCACTCTGGTTAGGGGCTTCACTCCCGAAAAGACATCAGCAAGCTCAGTCATCCGTTCTGAACCCTCTTTCTTGTAATACTCCCATTTGGTTTGCTTTTCTGAAAGCATTTGCTTGAACATCTGTTGAAAGATAGAAAAGATTTATTTAGTTAAGAGAAAATCCAGATTAGGCAGCTTATGAAGAGAGCTTGAGTGAAACCTACTTTATTATAAAAGACACTAAAAGTTAACACTGATCCTGATGCCACCTCCTATGAATTCCTACTACACTTTATACTGACTGAGAGGCAAAGTCAGACCACCCCAGGACGAAGGTTCTCAGATCAAAAGCACATAAGCACCACCTAGAGGGCTTGAAGGTTTTCAGATTCCCAAGTCAGACACCTAAAGATCTTGTTCAGAAGGCCTTAAATAGGCCCAGAAATCAGCATTTTAATTTTTATTTATTAATTTTTTTAGAGATGGGATCTTTGTCACTCAGGCTGGAGTAAAGCAGCATGATCATAGCTCACTGCAACCTGAAACTCCTGGTATAGCTCGGACTATAGGTGCACACTCCCACACCTGGAAATTTTTTTTTCCTATTTTTTGTAGAGACAGGGTCTCATTCTTACTCAAAGCTGGTCTTGAACTCCTGACTTCAACCAATCCTCTTGCCTTGGCCTCCCAAAGTGCTGGGATTACAGGTGGGAGCCACCACACCGGGGCTGTTAATGTGTAATTAAATTTGTGACCACTGATCTATTGTTCTTTCTAGGTAACAATTTCTGTGATTCTAATCTAATTAGCCAGGGAAGGTTTGAGTATTATCTTTTCAGATGACTGAGGAATAAATTAAAATATCTACAAAGGTTCTTTCTTATTTTATTGTACAGATTCACTTTGACATAAAATTTAAATCCTATAAAGATTCAGTCCTACCTCTATTTGGTAGAGGAGAAAAGAATACAACTCAAGATGGGGCTCTGCTTTTCTTGAAATAAAAAAATCTTATTTCTCATTTAAGTACATGATATCTTAGACAAAAGTGAAAGGTTTATTTCCCTGGGTTCTTATGAGGTAAATGCATGAATGTCGATTTTTCTCCTAAATTCTTCATTATCAGACTCCATCAGCAGGAGAACAAGGCTGTGTGGAATTTTGTAAGGCCTGTGCAGGAGGAATCTTAAGTGATCTTAACAGGATGATTAATCAATCAAATGATAAGGGGATGGGGAATAGTAAGAATTATTTATGGAGTCTACCCTATCTTTCTGTGTGCTGGGATCAATTAATGCCATTTGACAAGGGCAAAGCAACAACACAAAATTGCCTAGAGGTATTCAAAATAGACCACATGGTTTGGAGCCTTCAATCACTGAGTCACATGAATTCACAGGTTTCTTGTGTCGTAAGGTGAAATTTGGGAGAGGGACTTGTCCTTGAGGTAGGAAATGCACTGCCATATGAAGGTAAGAAGAAACATAGGTTCAACTACTGTATTGATAGGAAAATCAGAAAGTGATTCTGGAAAAGGGGTGGATAGGAGGTAGGAGAGAGGAAACACAGGTTAAAGAATCAAACTGCAGTGTCAGAAATTCAAATACATTATTTCTGGGTTCCATTTGTTTTGGGTCCTTTTTTTCTTTCGACCAGAGCCTTTTCTCTTCTTGAAGACCTTGAACAATGAGTTGGTGCTCCCTTAGGCTCCCTTCTATTTCCTCTCTACCTGAATAGACAGAAGGAAGCTGTTCATTCTATTTCAGAAGATTCCAGAGAACGGACTTACGAGTAGAAATGTAGGTCTGGTCAGTTAAACAGCACAGACCTGTCCTGATTTCCACTCACCAACACTGAGCTACACGTTATATACGTAGGACTTGGGATCCCTGATGTTCTGGTTAATGATCATAACTGGTCTGAGGGCATTTCTTCCTTGTAGGCAACTCTCATTTGCCTTTGAAAGACCATTTTTGCTCTGATCAACTAATGCAATGCCTGCTTTCTCTTCTTGGATCTTTCTTTCTTGGCTTAATCTGTTTTTCTTCCCCACTATATCGAAAGCGCCTAGTTTGGCGGGAGCATGCCTTGTTTGTTTTGGAATTCTTAGCACCTAGCTAGGAACAGAATGTGTACTCAATAATATTTTTGCTATTTTAAGGGGAAATATTAAAATTATTAAGAGATCAAAAAGGGGTAGCATTCCCCTGATCTTATAAAATTTTACCCCATTTTTCTTAGCTACTTAATAGACAAATACTGTACTCTCACATACATAGAAGATAAGTATCTAGTATACCACTAACCAAACAGAGGCAAGGTAAGAATTGCTTTGGAATGGGCATTAATGTCTGGGGCTAGTGCCTGGGCCCACTTGACCCAAATGCTCAAGGTTATAAAACCTGAGCATTCCCAAGGATACACCATTTTTATTAAGCCTACAGAGGCTTCTTTTAGGGGCAAGACTAACTTCATAATTTTCTTTGTGAACTCAGATTCCTCATAGCTCTTAAGATGACCTGGTTCAAATGGAAATCACCCACCCTACTCAAATCCTTTTCAATAGGTTCTCATGGCTTTTAGGATAAAGACAGAAATTCCGTAAGGCCCACCTTCAGCCTCATTTCCTACTATCTCTTTCATTCTCTCCCCTCCAGTCAACTGGCTTTTAGGTGCTTAAACTGGCTGAGGTGTCTTCCCCACCCAACAGGACTTTCTTCTCACTGGACTGCTGCTTCATACCTTTGTCTAGTTAACTCTAACAGATTCCTTTTCCAGGACCTTTTAGAAGCTCTTCCTTCTTTTTTCATGGAAGTCTTCCTGCCTAGAATAGGATCCTTTCTTTTATTTATTTTTCAGACTGAGGTCCTGCTATGTTGCCTGGGCCAGAGTGCAGTGGTTCTATCACAGCTCTTTGCAGCCTCAAACTCCTGAACTCAAATAATCCTCCAATCTTAGCCTCCCAGAGTGTTGGGACTACAGGTGTGAGTCACTCCACCCAGCCCTTTAGGTCCTCAGAGAACTAAATTCCTTTCCTTTAAACCAGTGGTTCTCAACCTGGTTCTTCCCTCATTGACTGAAATAATTTTATGGTTGGGTGTCACCACAACATGAGGAACTGTATTAAAGGGTTGTGGCATTAGGAAGGTTGAGAACCACTGCTTTAGACCATCTATCTCCGTTTGCACCGGTATTTTCATTAGTGTGATTCTCTGATTACTGTTTGCATTCCTCATTAGACTACAACCTCTATAATTTCTGTACTTTTCCTTGTCACTGTATCCCCGTGATAGTAGGTACTAAATGTTCTGATCTTGTTGTTCTGTAAGAATTATCTCAGACGCCTATAATCTGTAGTTTCAATCAGAGACGAAACAACTAAATCCTAATTTTTAAAAATATTTTTAAACATAAAAAAATCCAAGCTTTGATGGTCATTCAATACTTTTACCTCCTTGAGTATAAACTCAAATTGTGCAGTATCCAGCAGCAACTGGAAGAGGATCTTGGGATTGTACCTGGAGTCCGTTAGAATCTGGTCCTTAATCTGACGAAGACGTTTGTTATTTGGGTCATAGGCTAAAAATAGGAAGAAAAGAGTTATCCACTTAATGAAAGAGTAGAAACTATCTATGAAACAAGATGAATTCTTAAATACTTTCCTTCATTTTAAGAATTCTAAGTAATAAGAAAAATGTTGGTCAATAACAGATTGGTCTTGAATGGGCATTAATGTCCATGGCTACTTCCTGGGCCCATCTGACCCAAACTCCTTGGCATTCCCAGGTATCTACTGTTTTTTTATTTATTATTATTATTTCCTTGCTTTTTATTTTTATTTCTTTGCTTTATTTTTTTGTTGTTGAGACAGAGTCCCTCCCACCCTACTCCCTGAGCAGAGTGCATAGCTCACTGCAACCTCAGACACGGGATGTGGGCATCCTGCAGCCTCAGCCTCCAGAAGGTGCTGAGATTACAGGTGCTCGCTGCAGCACCCAGCTGGGTTTTTCATTTTTTTAGGAGTCAGAGTCTCAGTCTCACTCAGGCAAGTCTTGAACTCCTGAGCTCAAGCAATTCTCCCTCCTCAGTCTCCCACAGTACTAGGATCACAGGCGTGAGCCAACACACCCGGCTACCTGATGTTTTTATTATGGCCATAGTGTATCTATGCCTTGGAGTACAAATGAAAAGCTAAATGACAACTAAATCTGACATAGGAAGTCATCCCTGATACATTGTTGAGTAAGAAAAGCAAGCTGCAGAACAGTGTTCCCAAATTCTTAAAGCATTTTGAGGTTGGATCATAGTGACTGTCCAGTACAGATGGGCAGAGCTTTCTGGTACCACTTCCCAGGTGGTGGATTGGTGGATTCCTTAAGTCTTGCCTGTCTGGAGTGGCTTTGGTTTAGGCATCAATCTCCGACATTCAGTTGAGACTCAATTCGGCCTGCGACTGCCATCCTTAGACAGGCTTGTTTGCAAAGTTGGCACTTGGCTGGCATCTGGAAACTTGGATTTTGGGACAAGCCCTTATCATTTAGAGAACTCATAAGAATGGTTCACTATGCCCTAACTGTACAAAAATGTGGTTCACCATGCTGAACACTTGCTTTCCTTTGGAGAGTCCAGAATTTGGGCCAGGCAAAGGCTGTCTATGTGGGCAGCCCCCAGTAAAACCAAAGGAAGCTGAACCTCATGAGCGTCCATGGTTGACACATTTCCCATATGTTGTCACAAGTGACTGCAGTAAGCATGACTCCACGGGAGAAGATCTATAGAAGCTTGTGCTTGGCTTCCTCTGGATTTTACCCCACGTGCCTTTTTCCCTTCGCTGATTTTGCTTTCTACCATTTTGTCATAATAATCAAAGCTGTGGGGACTATCACGGGCTGAGTCCTCTTAGTGAATCATTGAAACTGGGGTGGTCTTGGGGGCTGCCTGACCAATAGGGAAACAGGGTTACCCAAACAAAGACATGGCCTTGCTCCAAATAGAAAGAACCAGCCCTGTGGTTGTCCTTCTCCGTGGAAAGGTCTGGAGGCACAGCAGGCACTTAGAAATGTCTGAACTATCCTCTACCCAGGGGCAGAGTGCTTATGTCAACTAGGCCAAGGTCATAAAATTCGATAGTGATTGGCCCACGGTCAACCACCAGATGTCCTGGTTCTCAGGTTAGCCTATCAGCTATCAAGCTAAACAGTAAATTAAAAGAAACATACAGAATAAAAAATGTTGACATTTGCTGAGATTGGCTTAAAGGCCAATTATTTATTGCAGAAAGAAAAAGAAAGAAAGATAAAGCAAAAATACTTACAAGTTATTGCTATGGTTTGAATGTGTTTCCCAAAAGTTCATGAGCTGGAGACTTGGTTAACATTTAGTAGAGTTAAGAAGTGGAGTCTTGGCTTGGCGCCCATAGCACAGTGGTTACGGCGCCAGCCACATACACCAAGGCTGGCAAGTTCGAACCCAGCCTGGGCCAGCTAAAACAACAATGACAACTGCAATAAAAAATAGCCTGGTGCTGTGGTGGGACTACTAATAGCATATAGTCCCAGCCACTTGGGAGGCTGAAGCAAGAGAATTGCTTGAGCCCAAGAGTTTGAGGTTGCTGTGAGCTATGATGCCAAGGCACTCTACCCAGGGTGACAGCTTGAGACTATCTCAAAAAAAAAAAAAAAAAAAAAAAGAGGTGGAGATGATTGGGTCACAAGGATAGTTTATTGATTTATTAATCATAAACAGACTTCTGCTATCTCGGAAGTGGGTTAGTTATAGTGGCTGTGGCTTTGTTATAAAGTGAGCCCTCTCTTCTGCATGCTCTCTCACCCTGCCACTTATCCGCCACGGGCTGACCCTCACTAGATGCTCTCGGACTTTGCAGCCTCCAGAACTCTGAGCCAAATAACCTTCTTTTCCTTATAAATTATCTAGTTTGTGGTATTGTTACAGCAGCAGAAAATGGACTAAGATTGCTGCCTAGACTATAAGTAAACTAAAAATAAGAACTCTAAGACAACAAATATTGTCACAACAGTCACAGCTGCATCAGGTACCAAGTCTGGGGTAGATGCATTGGTATTACACATGCACACCCCAGCTTTCCTAGCCTTCTCCTGACCAGCCTCTCATAATGCCTGGCACGCACAGAATGATCATGGTGTGTAAATCTATGGTGTTTCTGGGGCTTTGGTTATGGTGAAGCATGTGGAAAATCACTTTATATACTGATCCCTAAGTTACTCCATCAGGAGACTTCTGACAACTTGGAAAAGGGCCTCAGTTTTCATGGGAAATGACACAGTTCTAGTTTCTTGTGCATTCTCCGGAACTACCTGGGAAGAAATATTTTGGAACTGGTTGATACTGATTATATAAAGAGAATTCTTTTAGTTTTATATTTGCCTAATAAACAAAACCTACAAATTCATAGGGAGTTCTATTTGCTTTTTTTATGTTAGTTCTAATTTAAAAAGAAATCTGAATTAGTTTTCTTTCATTTTGGGGTAGGGAATATAAGTCTCTCTGTTGGACAAATACTCTGTATTTCTTAATGTGCATTAATATTTAGCTCTGTGGCACAAACTGAGTTGTACCTGATTAACAGGGCCTGATCATCCCTCTTAGATTTGACCCTTAAGAATTCAATCCTAGAACTCCGGGAGGCAGGCGGATTGCCTGAGCTCACAAGTTCAAGACCAGCTTAAGGCAGAGGGAGATCCCATCTCTAAAAATAGCCTGGCATTGTGGCAGATGTCTGTAGTCCCAGCTACTCAAGAGGATGAGGCAAGAGGATCACGTTAAGCCCAGGAGTTTGAGGTTGCTGTGAGCTATGATGACACAGCACTCTATTGAGGGCGACAAAGTGATACTATCTCAAAAATAAATTAATATATAAAAAGAAAAAGAAAAAAAAAAGAATTCAAGCCCAGAGAAGTGTGAGAACAGATCCTAGAACCATGGTAACCTCAGGACGGACTCCCATAACCAGCCAGCCTTTCTTATCCAGTGTTGCCTGCGAGTTTGTCTTCAACAGCTGTGAGGCACTGCACAAGCACCTTAAGCCTGGGTGAAACGCTTCTAGCAAGCTAATAGCGAGTAAGATGAGAGTATGCCTGCCTTTCTGTACACCGCGACTGAAGCACCATAAAAGCTAAATAAGCAGTTACTTTTTCCATGTGTGACTCCCCCAGTTAGGCCAGTCATTTGTTCCAGGTAAATTATGACCCTGTGGAATCAGGTCAGACAATTGCCAACCACAAAAATGAAAAACAGATGTGGCTGAGGATAGGAATCACAGACCTCTGGCACATCGAGGTTGTCTCCGACACGGGTGCAAATTCAGGGGACTGCTGGCTTCAAGAACATAGGCGTGGTTGTCAGGGAGAGTCACACAGAAAATGAAGATGAGGTTGAGTCACTGGAAACCCACAGTTGGTTTTACGACCGAGAAAATGAGGGCCCCAGCTGTTTATATGCTTGTGAATAGTAAGACTTTTGGTAAAGATTATAAGCTGAGTCAACACAGTAAAATCCTCAAATGAGAACTGGAGTTTATAGAAAAGATAAACTCAACTATTAAAAATAGATCAATTAGATGATTAAAAACTTCAGCCATGATAGTCATACTGTAGGTAAACTATAAATAGAATCAGGCCAACATGTAAAACAATGAACAAAACTAGCCAGCAGCATTGGTGAGAAAGGTTTGAGAAGCTGGGGGGAAGGTTGAGTGGAAATTCCACACGTTTCCTTGATTTTCTGAGACAGAGTCTCATTCTGTTGCCCTGGGTAGAGTGCTGTGACATCATAGCTCACAGCAATCTCAAACTCTTGGACTCAAGTGATCCCTGTGCCTCCCGTGCAGCTAGAACTGAGTACAGGTGCCTGCCACACCACCTGGCTAGTTTTTCTATTTTTAGTAGAGACGGGGTCTTGTTCTTGCTCAGGCTGGTCTTAAACTCTGAGCTCAAGCAATCCACTCACATTGGTCTCCAAGAATGCTAGGATTACAGGTGGGAGCCACCAGAAATTCCACACATTTTCAAAGGTACAAGAATGAAGAAGTCCAAATGCTGTTTTCACTGTGGACAATCACAGGAAGTGAGAACAGACGCTACTAAGAGGGGCTGTGAAGTCATCTTGGCTGCAAGAGTTGTGAGCCAGGGACTACCGTGTTACTGAGGAGGACAGAACAACCGGGCATGCACAGCTTTTTTCTCGAGACATAGCCTTATTCAAAAGAATGAGAAAGTTTTGAGAGTAGTTCCTGTCTCAGAGTAGGTCCTCAAGAAAAAATTTTTGAGTGAAAAACAAAAATCAGAGAGCTGTATAGGGCTGCTGAATGACAGAACTCTTGAGGGGTGCAGGGGTACGTAGCCTTAGATGAATGAATTTACCAGTTAATTAATGTTGATTGAGCATTTACTAACTATAAGGAAATGTGCCAACTCTGAACAAGCTCAGAGGTGTTAGTGCAACCCACTCACTCTTCTATGATTAAAGCATGGGTTTCAAGTCATAGCTCATGGACTCTGGGGAAGCATTTTATACAAGCTGTGAAGCTTCTGAACTTGACAACCAAACTTTGTGTGGACACAAGATCTCAAAGAAGACACTGAGCCAGAGAAAGTTAAGACCTAATCTACCTGAAATGAGTCCTCTGACTCAGATGGGTCAGCAACTGTGGACCTGTGCATTTGTTTGTCCTTCCAAAATCATAACTTTATTTCACCACTTCTGCAGTTAGGAATTTATCCCACTTTTTGCTTCAAAGCCTTATCAAGAGTGTGGTAAGCTCTGTCTTCTGTATGGAGCCTTCCCAGCTTCCTCTGTCTCCATCCAGCAATGTCTCTCCCTACTCTGGACTGAAATCTCCAACTGGCTCATTACTACCCTGGACCTTCGATTAGTTTCCTATGGCTGGTAATTTCTTAACAAATTACCAGAAAATTAGAGGCTTAAAACAATACAAAATTTATTTTCTTATAGCTCAAGAGGTGAGAAATCTGAAATGGAGTTTACTGAGCTAAAATGAAGGTGTCAGTTAGGCTGGGTTCCTTCTGTAGACTCTAGGGGAAAAATCCATTTTTTGCCTTTTTTCAGCCCCTAAAAGCTGCCTGCATTCCTTGGCTTACGTGTCCTTCTATCTTTAAAGGCAGCATTGGCTGGTCGAGTCTTTTCACTATGTCATCTCTCTGGTTCTGACTCTTCTGCTTCCTTCTTCCTGACTTAAGGACCTTTAAGATCACAGTGAATTGCTTGGGATGATCCAGGATAATCTCCTTACTTTAAGAGCAGGTGATCTGCCACTTTAATCCCCCCCCTTTCATGTAATATAACATATCTACAGGCTCCAGCAATTAGAGCATGGACATCGTGTGGGATGGTGGGAAGCATTATTCTGTCTACCACAATTCTACTGATTTGTACATATACATCTGATCTCCCCATCTGATCAGTGACAAGCTCCCTGGACGTGAGAGCTAAACAGCCTCTTATTCCCCAGCAGTTAATAGTACCTGCCAGGGGGAGCAATTCAGGCGAGCTGTTGACTTAGCCATGCTGATACAAAAATGACTAACTTAAAAAAAAAACAACTTGAGGCTTGGCACCAAAGGCTCAAGTGGCTGGGGCACTAGCCACATATACTTGAGCTGGCGGGTTAGAATCCAGCCCAAGTCTGTCAAACAATGACAGCTATAAGCAAGAAAAAAAAAAATAGCTGGGTGTTGTGGCAGGTTGTCTGTAGTCCCGGTTGCTTAGGAGACTGAGGCAAGAGAATCGCTTGAGCCCAGGAGTTTGAGGTTGCTATGAGCTGTGACACCACAGCCTTCTACAAAGGGTGACAGCTTGAGACTTTGTCTCAGAAAAAAAAAACAACAAAAAACTTGATTCTCATCCCAGAGCTCCCTCCCTGCTAACCACTCTGCATCATGAAGTAGACCTTAATTCTGAGAGTCTTTAGGGAGCAGAAGAAATGGCCACCCCTTCTGTGCATTACCTGAGTCTGCTGTATGAAGCATCAGCCATCGGATGGCAACGTTGCAGTCTCTCAGGCAGTTCAGAAGCCTTGGGATGTTGTCCAGAACCATTTCCTCCCTTAAATAACCCTCTTTCAGAAACTGCAGCACTTGAGCGTGTATTCTTTCACTGACAGTAGCATACCTGCTTGCCTTTGAAAATAAAATGCTTGATTTATATTAAAAAAATTATTTATCTTCAAAATGAAATCACATTTGAATGAATCTCTTGACAAATAACTAACATTTCTTTAGTTATGGACATAGTTATAAAGCTTATTGGACATATTTACATTAGACTTGGGATTCTGAGTCTAAATGTTAGTTCTGGCTGTGACTTTGTAACTTTGTGTTTAACCTGTGTACTGAATCAGTTTCTTCCAGTGTCAAATGGGAGAACCAGACCAGGTGCTTCCTCAGATCCCTTCTTTTCTTAACTTAGAAAAGAAACACAAAGATAGAAGCTGAATTTCCCTGTTCTTGCGAATATTGTTGACAGAGGAGGCAGAACAGAGCAAATGCATAAGATGAGACTTCTACAGGCACAGGAAAGCTCAATAAGCAATACTCCTCTGTACATCAAATTTGAACTTTCAAACCAGCCTTTCAGAATTTGGTCATTCTGTTTTACTAAAGCATGAGTCAAATATTAAACAGCATTACACCAGTTAAGTTAAAATTAAACCTAGTCAAGTTATTTTAAAACTACAGCATCAAGAAACATCTTAAAATGTCACAAATGAGAAAATGCAATTTTGGAAAGAAATTTTAGTAATGAAGAAGTAATTCTCTGATGTCAGGAAGTATGGAAGAGTGACTTTCACATATTTCTAGGAGATATGCCAATACTGAAATTATTTCGTGCATTATTTATGGATTCAATTTATTTGAATAAAACATGAAGAAGTTTTTTGAGTCAATACTGTTTTATCCACACAGGAAACCCAATAACCCAGCCAGGATGAAATTTTTATCTATATTCCTCTATTTACTTAGATATTTCCTTTTGCCTATGTTCTTATCAAAGAGACAGAACATAGCCATTTACACTTTAAGATGAATATCTCGAACAGGCATCCTCAAATTATGGCCTGCAGGCCACATGCAGCCTGCTTAGGACATTTATCTGGCCCGCCAGGTGTTTTTGCCACTGCTGCCTGTCCTGCTTAGCAGCTGACTCATCCCGGGGCTGCAGTCCAGCCCTCCAACGGACTGAGGGATAGTGAACTGGCCCTCTGTTTAAAAAGTTTGAGGACCCTTGATCTTGAATCTTATCAGTTCTTTAGCCCATCAGAAATGATGAATTTAAATAACAGTGATAGGACACGTTACCTAGACTTCCTAGTCTTCAATTTATCTATAATATATAAGTTAGGACAGGTACAGTGTCTGGTACCTGTAATCCGAGCACCCTAGGAAGTTGAGGCAGAAAGACTGCTTGAGGCCAGGGATTCTAGACCAGCCTGAGCAAAAGTGAGATCCCATCGCTACAAAAAATAGAAAAATCAACTGTGTGTTGGTGCGTGCCTATTGTCTCATCTACTCAGGAGGCTGGGGCAGGGGAATCACCTAAGCCCATGAGTTTAAGGTTGCAGTCAGCTATGTGATGACAGTGCAATCTGGCCTGCGTGACAGAGTGGATTCTGTCTTAAAACAAAAACAAAAACAAAAGGAAAAAAATGTAAGTACAGTATGTAAGTTAAAAACCTACAATTATCTATCTTACTCTAACACATAAAATTTACCTTTCATTAAAGCATTGCATTAAATTATCTATGTAAATATCTTCTAAATTCCTTGGGAAATCTATTTAGTTCATTCCCTGTGTTATGATTCAGGCTGGAAATTATTAGAGAATCTTTCCTGATTAGATAGAACTTACCTGTTCTCTGACATTTGAAAGGTCCAGGGTATTGTTTAAAGCAGTTTTTGCAGCTTTGTAAGGTTCCCAGGCATCTGCTAGATTAACTGTGATTCCCATGTAAATACTAATTACCTGAAAAAGGAGACATTCACTTAATATTTGTTAAATACCTACTTACTTCCAGGAAAAGGGGTTGGGAGTTATATAAAAAGTTATAGAAGACACTGCTCACTCCTTCAAGTTCAAATTCCATTTTAATGAAAAACCAAGATTTTCCAAACACATAGGCTAGTGTTCTTTTTTTTTCTGAGATAGAGTCTCACTATGTCACTCTCAGTAGAGTGCTGTGGCATCACAGCTCACAGCAATCTCAAACTCTTGGGCTTAAGCGATTCTCTTGCCTCAGCCTCTGGAGTAGCTGGGACTACAGGCACCTGCCACAATGCCTGGCTAATATTTTTTTTTTTTTTTGATTGCAGTTGCCACTGTTTAGCAGGCCCAGGCTGGGCTCAAACCCACTAGCCTTGGTATATGTGGCCAGAGCCCTACTCACTGGGCTACAAGCACCGAGCCTAGGCAAGTGTTCTTAATTGTTAATTCACCTTGGTAGATTACTCCTTTTAATGTTATAAATGACTCTGTTTTATACCTATACATGTTTTTCTTTAAAATTCTCTATTGTGTGATACTAATATTTTCTCACTAGTTTTTCTTTTTTTAATTGGTTGGCATATTTTGTAAATCCCTTTATTTTCCATGTGCCAGGGTAGTTTTTTAAAATTTTTTTTAGGTGTACCACATATATCTTACAGCATTATGTAATTGGATTTTGACATTCCTTAATACTGAATATGTCTCTGATTATAGTATTATGGTCATAACTTCGGAACATGAAACCAGACTATCAGAGTTTTCCTCTTGGTTGCTCAAGTCCAAGTTCATGAATGTGATTCACAATTGGCTAAGAATCATCATCTTTTAATGTAAGCTATTCCTACCCTACCAATAAGTTGAAGGAAGGTTCTTCATACCAGATAGTTAATGTGGTTTAATAGCTGCTAAGACATGGAACAAAGTCTGCTACCTAAGAATATGGTCCAATTTGCTCCATTTTGTTAAAACCTCTTCGTGCAAAGAAAACATTTCATATATATTAAGTAGGAAATAAGTTTTATTCCTTTAAGAATATTAAGTGAAACAACGTTCAAAAAGTTACTGTAACATAAACCTTAATAGCCCCATCACAGTTAGCTTTATAGATAAAACTTAACAGAACAATGAAACTCCTATACAAAATGACAAATTAGATACATTTTGCTGGCTTAGATTCATAAAACAGGAAATAAATCCTTATATAACTTAGTTGCAATCTCAGTAGCTAAAGTAAGATATATTTTAATACCTGGTTTTATCTTCGGAGTATTTAAGAAAAAGACGAACGGGTTCTTCAGGAAATGTTACTGACTGATGTGTTCCTTCACGTTATGGTTTATAGACTTGTCAATACATTTTACCTAAGTGACTTTATGTCTCATCATTTCCAGCATTATAACCGCTGAGCTAAAGGCCAAAATAATGGGAAAGCAGTCCTCTAACAAATTTGCTGTAGTGAAAAGAAAACCCAGTAATACTTGCCCAATTATCTGGAAAGTATTTATCCACTATCTCTCTCATTTTTGCTTGATGGGTATGAAGAATGGAAGGGTCAAAGTAGAGAATCACATACAGCATGGCAGCTTGGTTTGCCAGGGCAGTGCTGCGGTGCTCTGGCAAAGGATATGCTGAGACCTGCAATATGGAGACACCCCAAAGAGAAAGCCATTGTCAGCATCAGAACGTACACGTGCTCAAATTAATTATCTAGTCCTAAGACACGTGAGTTGTTCAAAAGCCCAAGGCCTTTCAGGATCCCGGGCAATGGAAGCAATTTGCCACCATGGTCTTCTTTCTTATCTCTAAACCCACATTCTTTTCCGTCTAGCCCTAGACTCTGCTACAATTCTAAGTCTTTTCCTCAAAAAAGGGAAAAAGTAAAAAAAAAAAAAAAAAAAGCCCAGCGCCTATGGCTCAAGCGGCTAAGGCGCCAGCCACATAAACCTAAGGTGGCGGGTTCAAATCCCCAGCCCGGGCCTGCCAAACAACAATGATGGCTGTAACCAAAAAAATGGCCGGGCGTTGTGGCGGGCGCCTGTAGTCCCAGCTACTTGGGAGGCTGAGGCAGGAGACTTGCTTGAGCTCAGGAGTTGGAGGTTGCTGTGAGCTGTGATGCCATGGCACTCTACCCAGGGGGATAGCTTGAGGCTCCGTCTCAAAAAAAAAAGGGAAAAAGTCTTAACCTCCTAACCTCAAGCCTCTCCTTTCCTGCCCATTTCTGTGTCTTTCCCATCACAGGTGATCCCTGACAGACCCCACTCGCTGCTGCTATCTTCTCACTGTTTATTACTCAATTCACTGAAATTTGACCTCCACCATCATCCCCGTGGAATTTCCTAAGATGGTGCAGGACCTTACAGTCACCCGGTCCTGTGACTTCTTTTTAGAACTCTCAGTTAAATTCTCCCAGGAGTGAAATTCTCTCCTCTGTTGGTTTCCTAGATACCATTCTCTCTTCTTAGTCTGCTTTACTGAGTCTTCTTCTATCTAACTTTTAAATGCCAATGTTCCTGAAAACTCTGTCCCCTCATATACTAGGAAATCTTTGGCTGCACCCAGCACCCAGCACATATCACCTTGAGTGACCAGAAGCAGAAAGGGGAGAAATTCTAAGGATAGACCCAGTAAAATCACATGGAATCCACAGGCAGGACAGTGGCCAGGTCAAGGGAAGGGCATGGGGCTGTGAACCACAATGTCTTCCCCCTCATCAGATATGATTTGGAGTTGTCTTAGAAAAAACCAAAACCAAAAAACTCTAATTATTTATACTTTTAACATTCACACAAAAAACTAACAGGCTACCTAAAGAACTGTACAGAGCAGGTTGTTCTATGAAAAATGATAGCCACAGTTATGACAGGCCCAACTCTTTCCTCTGTTATAATAATAAAAAGAAATATAGTCAGGAGTGGGGGCTCATGCCTGTAATCCTCACTTTGGGAGGCCAATGCAGGTGGATTGCCTGAGCTCAGGGGTTCAAGACCAACCTGAGCAAGAGCGAGAACCTATCTCTAACAGTAGCTGGGTGTTGTGGCAGGTGCCTATAGTCCCAGCTGCTTGGGAGGCTGAGGCAAGAGGATACATTGAGCCCAAGACTTTGAGGGTGCTGTGATGTCCTGGCACTCTACCAAGAATGACTTTCTCAAAAAAAAAAAAAGAAAAAGAAAGAAAGAAATGGAAAACACACACAATGATTTTTTTTTTTCAGAATGATGAAGAGAAATAGCAATTTTCTCTAGTTTTCTTTTAAGAAAGTGACTGGCAAGGAAGACTCTTTTCAAATGTTGTAGGAATTTAAAGAAGCCCTGTCAGGCTGCCTCCTTGGCACTGCCTTTATATTGCTCCTTTTTGTGACCTGTTATGACCCTGCTTCGGTGGCAACCTGTCCCCTACGGTAATATTCCTCTTGCTTTACTATAATTCCTTGAGTTGTCTGCCTTCTTTTGTAAACTACAAGTTCAGTTGTGATTAGGACACGGCCCACTTTCTTCAGGGACGGATCTCCAGCACCCAACATATGAATGGGCACGTAGCACACACTCAAAACTGTGACCTTTTTTTCCTTTTGAGACAGTCTTGCTTTGTTGCCCAGGCTACAGTGCCATGGTATAACCTTACCTCACTGCTACCTCAAACTCTTTTTCTAGTTTTAGTTGAGATGGTGGCCTCGCTTTGCTCAGGCTGTTTGGTCTCTAACTCCTGAGCTCAAGTGATCCTTCTACCTCAGCCTCCCAGAGTGCTAGGATTACAGGCATGAGACACTACACTTGGCTATTTCTTGAATGAATGACGAAAAGTTTTCCAATAACTCGAATCTCATCTTCTCCCTGAAATCTCTGATTCTGCCAAAATTAATATCGCTCTTTCTTCTATCATCCTGAAACATAGATCAAAAGATTATAAAAATAGTTTCTAGCTGCTTTTGCTCTTTTGGGAAAGAAGGAAGGAAAAGAGTAATTGGGGAGGAAAGTGCAATCAGTCTGTTAAACTATTAAGAACTTAATCAATTTAATTCCTACCTGGTTGTAAATATCATCTGATCTCAGGCGACCAATGACCATGCTGATGAAGGACTCATTGATAGGTACTCTCTGGAAATAGCTCTCAGGATAGTTGGGTGGTCTTTTGGCTCCTGGTTGACTGGAATAACCTGTACTTCGAAGTAGCTTACAGATATCATCCATATTTGAATCAGCAGAAGAGCGAGCAGCACTGAGTCAGGTTCACCATAGGAAACAAAGAGCCACGTAAACCGTGTACATTAGAAACTCAAAAGCCTAATAAAGCCGAAGAATCCCATTATAATTTGACTTTATGCTGCTTTAGATATGACCGTAGGTCCATCTATATCCTTGAGATTCAAGTTGTATTTCCAAAAGCCGGTTTATAAGATGGGTATTGATTCTATGCAATGGTCCATAATTGATTTTCCAAACTCTTTGGGGCTGGACTTGTTTCAGAATACAACATTTTTCAAATGTAAGGAAAGTAATATGATATGTAGGTCGTTTATAATACAGTATCCCAGCAGGGTCTGAGTTGGCATTCCATGGTCATATTAATAATTCTGGAGTAAAATTTATAGTCACAAAAGTGAGATAAATGAAGAACATAAACATTATCACCTGTGTTCTCTGCAAGTTCTGACTCCAAATGATCTCAGGTTAGGTCAGGTCTTGCTGCCAAATGGGTAACTATGTATTTGTGAATGTGTGCATGTGTGTGTACCCATATATGTATATATTTTCAGAGTTATTTGAATTTCAAAATTATGGATACAGAATGTGAACCTGAAACAATGTTTCAAAATTTAAAAAAATTAATTAAAAACAAATTATGCCAATTTAAAGTGGGATATATACTAACTAGTTTTTCTTAGCAAGCTGCTTCTCTTCTAAAGAGATCTAATTAAAATGTCCGTGATTTTCAGGATGGATAGTAAACTCTGAAAGGAACAAACTAGATTCAGAGACTGTCAGACTTGGAGATGACCTCCTATTTGATGTAAGAATTTCTCTGACCACAGCTCTGACATGCAAGTTCCATGTTACTTCGGTAATGAATGCTCATATTCTAAGGAATTAGCTGTTGTAGCCAAAGGGACAAAGCCAGATTTTGAAAACAAGGCTTGATTAGCAAACAATTTTTCCTTTTTCTTTAGATTATTTGTTTTTATTTTTCTAAGTACTTTCAGAAATATATGCCAGGCTGCTCACATTTCCTTTTTAAAAACATGGATGTTACACAGTCAAACTCCTATGTATGAATGCCGTATGCTGGGAGATACTCCCTTCACACACTGATAAATGAGCCTACGGTTAATTCACTGCTGAGGAGATAATGAATCTTGTATCTACTTTTGACTAATTCATTCCACAAACTAAAAAGCCATATGCCAGGTACTAGAATTACAAAGTTGGTTAAGGTACCTCCTGTTTTCAAGACCCTATCTCTTGAAGAACCACAGCTCTGAACAGACATATACAACACATATGTGGATGTGTGTTGTCATTTATTTTTTGTTTCTGTGTATGAATAGATGAGAATTTACATTCAATCTGACCCTGAATAACTTTTCAAAGTCATCAAACTAATGAGGACAACAAATAGTTCATTAATTTCCTTCTATTTGCCAAGGAGCAATACAGCAGAACCCCCATTGCTGACCATCTCTCTAAGGTGGCCTAATTTCAAAGACTGAACATTTACCACATGTACATATTAGTATGGTAGGCTTAGTTCCTTACGTTGACCACCTCCATATCTTGACCAGTTTGTTATCCCTTGGGTGGTCAGATTACAGAGGTTCTACTGTATTTTAAAACTTGAAAACACAAGCCAAAAATAACATTCATTAGATTTCAAAAACTCCTTGAAATTTATCCTCAAGGTAAAGAAAATTTGGAATTCAGATTCCTTTTTTAAACTGAGTGACCATCATGAACATCATAATCTACATCTCTAATACTCTATAATATATGTAGTACTTTATACATAATATATAGATTATATGGTTTATATATATGAGTTATAAATATATCATTACTCCAAATTACATATCATTCCGGATGTATATCATTCTTCAAATTATGTATCATTTCAAAATATATAATTTGGAATAACTGTTATAGCCATACAATACTACAATATATTTTCAGAAGAGATAAGAATCTTATATATATATATTTCTTTTTAGGAGACAAGGTCTTGCTCTATTGCCTAGGCTGGAGTACAGCAGCACAGTCACAGCTCACTGCAATCTCCAACTCCTGGGCATAAGCTATTCTCCTGCCTGAGCCTCCTGAGTAGCCGAGATCACAGGTGCATGCCAACAAACCTAGTTAATTTTTAAAGTTTTTTTTTTTTGTAGAGCTAGGGTCTCGCTATGTTGCCCAGGCTGTTCTTAAACTCCTGTTGCTGGGATTACAGGCATGAGCTACCATGCTTAGCCAATAATCTTATCCTTTCACACCCAATATCATATTCCTATTGTTCACAATAGTAGTTTGGGAACATACGCTGTGTTTTACCAATAGAAGCGCTGTGGGAGTGTGTAGCCCTAGCCCAGAAATACCTGTATCGATAGTAAGAAACCAGCATTCTCTCTCTGACTTCTCCTTCAATCTTTTGGTCGATGACTAGTAGCATAACTCCATACAGGTACAGTGCTTCACACTGAAGAGAAAAGGACAGTAGCCAAACTCATAAGATTATACAGTCTTACAGAATAAAATTTGATAATGGTTAAAAAAGTAACTTTGGTCATATGTCTCCTAAAATAGGTTTCCTCCAAAGGGTTCCCACCTTCTGCACACAAATGGGCTTTGAAAAGTTCGTGCAAAATATATTTTTAACTCATAGTGGTTATCTTTCAGTTGATCTATTTTTGATGTTTCGCTTGAGACACCAAAATATCATCCCAATATTATGGGTACCTCTTCATCATAAAGGCATTTACTTATTCAGTACCGTTTCCTAAGTGGTCATGATGTACTAGGTGCCAGGCTAGATGGCTGGAGGCAAAAAGTAAAGAGACAGAATTCTCACACTCAGGAAGCTCACAACCTCCACATCATCTTTTATTCATTCTCATTTTGTTCAAAGTCAATTACATTCTGAATTCAGATACTGACTTGTTACTTAGAAGATACTTAGCAGCTTATTCTGCTTCTCTCTACAGTATGCTATTCTGTATATATTTTTGAGTTATAGGGGAAAAAGTGCTGCTAAGTGTGATGCTCTCCAATTTCTGTTTTAAATGGTCACTTACTAGAAGTTGCTTGCCATCTTCATTGAGAAGCACAGACTCTAAGGTTTGCTGAATATAAACACCTTCATTGAGATCTTCTAGGTATCTACAAATAAACACCCAGAGAAAGCTATTCATTTATAACGGCAACTTTAACATCTTTGTAGAAAGAAACATTTTTAAAAGATAAGGCAGAGTATTAGGCATTCTGGCTTTCAACTACTTCGTGGTCCTTCATGCTGTTAAAAATAGTCTTACAAGCTATATTCCTAGTGATTTAGGACCACAGGTTGGTGGTACTAATGGCTACTTCAAGTAAAGGGAATATCCCCAGTCCTGATAGACAAATTACAAGTATCTAGGAGGAAAGGCATAAAAACACACAACACTCAGTCTCAGATTTAATGAGTAACAAATTCTTAAGAACTGTAGAAGAGCAAGTTAACAACAAAAATAAGTGCCACTGTTTCACTTTTCACAGATAGTGCAGTAGAACATGATCAGTAACTATAGAATCGAAAGCTATATGACTTAGTGCGAACCAAGTCTATTTTGATGCTTTCCAAGAACAGGAAATTACAACAAAACTCTAAAATATCAAAGATGACCAGTGCCATGGGAAAGAAAAGAGAATTATGTACAGTATAAACCAGGACTTTTTTTTTTTTTTGAGACTGAGCCTCAAGCTGTTCCCCTGAGTAGAGTGCTATGGCATCACAGCTCACAGCAACCTCCAACTCCTGGGCTCAAGCGAGTCTCCTGCCTCCGCCTCCCAAGTAGCTGGGACCACAGGCGCCTGCCACAATGCCCGGCTATTTTTTGGTTGCAGCGGGCCCGGGCTGGATTCGAACCCACCACCTTAGGTGTACGTGGCTGGCACCTTAGCCACTTAAGCCACAGGCGCCGAGCCAACCAGGACTTTATGTCCTAACAACTCACAAGGATTTACACATCCCAAGTATCCCTGTTTCCTTTTCATTATCTACTATCAGAATAAGCTATTACTAAGGTAACAAATACCTGTTTAAGTCTACAATGTATTTATGCACACTTTGAAATGCTAAATAAAATCTGGTCACAATTTCTATGTTGTTTTCACGAAACTCTTCATCTAAATCCTGTAGTTCTGGCTTTGCTTCCAGTTTGCTTTCCCATAACTCTGGACCCTAGGAAGAAAAACATATGATGTGAAACAGTAACACACGCATACTTCTTGGTGACAATTTCTAAACAGTCTATTAAAAATTGTTTATATGTTCTTAAATATTGAAAATTGAAAGCAGAGCAACAGAAAGTAACAAAGATAATAGAAGCCTAGATGTTAAATCCCTTGGAAAGACATAAATTCTAATTGCAACTAAGATTAGCATGCTTTTAAGTATGGGGCACTTCCATGCAAAATACATTATACAAAAGCTGTGTTTTAACACTTTGGTTGTATTGTGTTAGGGCTTCCACGTAACACATTTATCTTAAGGACAAGTTAGTAGCTCATCTTAAATTTGGTTTAAAACTGCTTCTTTTTATCTCTTTTTCCATAATTACTTAACCTCTTAAGAGTCTTATGGTTTCCAGAGAAAACATGCTTTTGTAGAAAAGACAACATTAAAAAATTCCATAGAGGAAGATTACCTTAAAATAGCTGAAATCAAATATGATATCTCCATATTTCTGTTGATCAGCTCGGTCTTTTAACCTGAATACAGCAGGAATAAACTCAGAGAGCCTCAAAAGCTCAGCAATGATGGCATTGCCACAGGAAACAATCCTGAGGATGGCCTGGCCACAGAGGTTGTTCTCAGCTAGGAAGTCCAACATTGTGAGGATGACCAAGCACTCTGGGCCTGGATGGGGAAATGACTGACTGGCCTCAGGGATGGTGTGTGTAGCTCATTAGATGAAACCAGGTCTGCAGGTAGACTGGCTGCTCCATTAAAGAACCTGCATCCAAAAAAGAAAACGTAAAAATCTTCTCCATTTTTAAGGGCGCATGTTTATATACATGTGAAACACATACATAATATTTTTTTCACAAACTTGTTTAAGGAAAAAAAAAGACAATGAGTTCTTATATGGGGGAAAGGCACTTATTCTTAACTCCTCGCGTATTCTTTGTGGAGAGATTTTGGTAGATTAACACCTTTGCCTCATCTTCAACCCTTTTAGTCACGTCTCCTCGTTAGAACACTAGGATACACATCATCTCTGAGCTAGGGTGAAGGAGCCATTGGGCAGATGTGGTTCCAACATAGCCTAATTGTATAAGCTACCCTCTACTATTTCATAGATTAGCAAATGTTTACAAGAACTATAAATAGAGCTCAGAGACACATCCTTGTACATCATTTTGAGGCATTTGCCCAATTATTTCCTAGAAATAGAATTGCTGGGTTAAAGTATAAACATGCCCAGGGTTCCTTTTAAAATTACAAATGCCAGGTTCTACAAAATGTTGTAAAGATGACTTATAAATACTAAATCAAATTGGTCCAAAAGTCTCACATAACTCAGTACTTAGATGTCTAGCATTGTCAGCAGACTGCAATACTCGCTTCTCTTGTATTACAATGCACCCTGAGAACAGATTGCTTAGCAGACTGAATAGCGTTATTATTGTTAACAGCTCATTCTGAAAGTTTCTGAAGGCAAAGAGTCATCTTTACTCAACTATTCCTTGCTGAATACCTCTTTGCCAGGTAGAATATGATGATGTTTAACCAACCCATCTTCTAGTGGTTCCTAAGCCCAGCGGCATAACAGAATCACCGAGAATCAATCTTAAGAGTTTCTGGCAAGTAGGTTAGAAGTAACCTAAGCATCTTCATTTTTACTCTCCAGTTGATTTTGATGTGAAGCCAGGATCATCACAAGAATAGAGAATGACTGGTCTTGTGAAAAACTGCAGCCAGTTGACAGGAAATTAATGATGTTTATCTTTGCATCCTTTGTGCTCAACTCATTTCTTGTCATTGAAAAGTATGATGAGTATGAATAATAATATGAGAAATATAAGTGGTGCTCCCTGCCCTCTCTAGCTTGCCGCTATACTGCTGGAGAGACTCCTTGAGGAGAAAAATCAGAGAAAGAGATGAAGCGCCAGAGCCTATAGTCAAGAAAAGAAATAAGAAGTCTAATGCATATTCAGTTGTCAGTATGGGGTTTTCACTAGGTCTCCAGGTGGGAAAATTATTCTTCTTATATTAGGCGATCTTTAGTAAAACGGCATCTCCTAAGAATGGAGGGCTAGAGAATGAAAGCAAGAAGCTATATAGAAAGACGTAATTTTACTCTGGAAGGGCGAGATAGGAGGATCACTTCAGCTCAGGAGTTCAAGAATGGCCTGGGCAAGAACAAGACCCCATCTCTACCAAAAATAGAAAAACTAGCTGAGTGCTGTGGTGGGCACCTGTAGTCCCAGCTACTCAGGAAGCTGAGGCAAGAACCCAGGAGTTTGAGGTTGTTGTGAGGTAGGCTGATGCCATGGCACTCTAGCTTGGGGCAACAGAGTGAGACTTTGTCTGTAAGAAAAAAGAAGGGAAGACATATTTTAGTGTATAACACTTACAAACATTTCTAGGGTAAATGATTTGGAAGACAGATTTGAAATGCAAAGGGCGGACAAAGGGTTACTTCTAAAACACGCAAAGGGATCTCACAAGCTGACAAAGAGAGGGCTAACAGCCCAACAGAGAACAGGCAAAGATACAAAGGGGGTAATTCATAAAGATTAATCCACATGACAGACAACTATATGAAAAGATCCTTAATTCACTAGCAGTAAAGGAACTATGAATTAAAGCAACTACTAAAAACCATTTTATTAGTAGACGAACTTATACAGGCCCTTATACATGAGAGGAAAACTCAATTCAATTCAATTTGGGGGAAGGGGAGAAGGGAGAGGAGGACTGGTGTGCTCCCACCTAATGGGGCACGATGTAAGGGTATCTTACAACTTCAACAGGGCCTTTACCACACAAATGGAAACACTGGAGCCTAGTTATTTGTACTCTCATATTAATCTGAAATAAAAAAATTAACCTTTTATTTGCATTAGTTTGGCACTGATTAGAAAGAATAATAATATCTGCTTTAAGTAGGACCTGGGGAAATATATAGTACTGGTGAAATGTGAATTACTAGTCTTCTTGTAAAGTGAACCTACAACATTTACTAAAATGAAAGATACATTCTCTTTGAACTACCAGTCTCACATATGTGTAAGGATATAGGTCCAAGGATTTTTCTTATAGCACAGCAGGTAATCACAAAAATTGGGGGAACAAAGTAAATGCCCAACAGTAAAGAAACTGGAACTGAGCATCCACTAACGAGAATGAATTAGTGTTCTATCTGTCAAGTTGGAGGATTTCTGAGTGAAAAAATTAAGATGCAGAAACGTAAGGATAGCATGCTTTCATTTTTATATCACAAGTAAAAATTAAAGGCCTACAGTCCCGGTGCAGTGGCTCACACCTGCAATCCCAGCTACTTGGGAAACTGAGGGGGCAGGATCACTTGAGGCCAGGAGTTTGAGACTAGCCCAGGCAACAAAGTTGAGATCCTACCCCTTTAAAAACCAAACCAACCCTATATACGCAAATATGAATAGAAAAAACATAAAAGGAAAAAGAGTTGATGGAGCTGGACGCAGGAAGAGGAGAGGCAGGAGCCAAGTAAACAGGAAAAGGGAAAAAAAGGGACATCACGAGGGGACAAAGCCACCAACCAACAAAAAGCCATTATTAGACACGAAATTGATTTGACGAGCACACTGAAATCCCACAGCTGTCCTGGCTGTGCCTTTTAAGCATCTTTTGTATCACAGAGATCTCACTGACACTGTTCCATGACTTGTCCCTTTTCCTGCCTCCCTTTCAGCTCCCTTGCAGCTTCCCCTTTTAGCCAATGCAGGGCAGCAAGGGTGAAAGAGAAGGCCAGGGAGAGCCCAGGGGCTGCAGGAGAAGGAAGCCAGGAAGACTTATAAAAACTGACTTCACTCCTCGACCCTGAACAGGTTTCAGAAAACTCTTAAAGTGGGTAATCCGCCTTATCAGCCTACTTCTCATGACCCCCTCTTCTCTCAGACTTGAGTGCCCTCCTTATTCAGGGCTATGTGCTCTCCCCTGCAGTGCCCATTTTTCCCAGTTCTGATCACACTACCGTGGTAACTAGTTTCCACAAATGCCTCCCAACAACCCCTTGCCATCAAGTCAGAGCACACGGCTCCTCAAGGGAAGGGGTAAACCTTACTTCCCTCCCCTTGACTCTGGAATGGGCCTATATATTTCTTTGCTACGGCTGTCCTCACAAAACATCACAGAGGGGCTGAAACAACATTTTTTTTCCCCACAATTCTGGAGGCTGGAAATCTAAGATCAAGCTGTTGGCAGGACTGTTTCCCCTTCAGGGTCCTTCCTGGGCCCACTGATGGCCTTCTCCCTGCACATTTCTGTGTCCAAATTTCTTCTTCTTCTAAGGATACCAGCCATACTAGATTACGGCCTACCCAAATGACTTTGTTTCAACTTTATTACCTCTAGAAAGATCCTGTCTCTGAACACAGTCAGTCTTAGGTATTGGGGGCTAGGAATTCAATATATGAATTTAGGGTTTGGGGGATCATCTCACAACAGCTTGCGTCTAGCTTCCACCAACAGAATGTTGCAGGAGAGACTCTGTACCATTTCCAGGCTGAAGCCTTGGGAGGGCTGGCAGTGCCTCCTTTTGGTCTTTGGGAGCCCTCAGCTGCCATGTGAGACTTCTGGGTATCCTGCTGGAGATATCACGGAGACTTACAAAATGGAGAGGCTGCCTGGAGAGGGAGAGGCATGAGATGGAAGAGAATCAAAGAAGCCAGTTGACAGTGAAAGTGAGGCACTGATGTGTGGCTTGGGTTGAACTGGTCTAATCAGCCTCTAGCTCTTTGGGACTTCCTAGGCAACCATGCCCTGTGTGACCTCTCAGAATCATGATAAATAAAAAAAACTCATGGTGTTTTGAGCAAATAAGTCTTGGGGTAGTTATAGAGCTGAGATTCAGTTTTGAGTACTAAAAGAATAAGTTGTCAATTTTAAATAGCATGATGCTGGCATAAGCCTATAATCTCAGCGTCTTGGGAAACTGAGGCAGGAGGATCACTTGAGCCCAGGAATTTGAGACTAGTATGAGCAACACAGTGAGATCCTGTCTCAAACAAATAAGTAAATAAACAAAAATATACGTAAAAATGTATTTTATACATGTACAAATAACATGATGTTGCCATTATGATAGCACATTTTCTACAATGCTGTGCCTTATAGTTATTATTTTTGTAAAATAATAGCAATGTAGCTATCTTCCTCTAATCCCCATTTTTTCAGCTGTCTGCTTCCACTGATTATTAAATTTTCCTTATGGAAACTGTGCTACTGTCTTCTTTTTGGGAAAAGAGAGCTATGTCCTAAAAACCTTCAAACAATACTTTTGCCTCAGTTTTTCATTTTTAGTAGAGATTAGGTCTCACTCTTGCTCAGGCTGGTCTTGAACTTGTGAGTTCAAGCAATCTACCCACCTTAGCCTCCCAGAGTGCTAGGATTATAGGCATGAGCCACTTTGTGCGTCCTGAAAGTGAGTTTTAAACTTAACAAAATTTAGGGTAAAACTGCAACAACTATTTACTAATTCCTTGGATAAACCAAGAATGAATCCAAATTGATTTCATCAAACTGTGCCCTTGACAGCACAATGGCTTGTATTTCACGCTTGACTTTCACAGCATGATCTTAAAAATGTAATGTCTGTAAAAAAATTTCAAGGTGTCATTCACTTTTTCCCAAAAGTCTCTGTTTCCCAATTCTTTTTCAAATTTTTATCCTCTGAAGTCTTAATTGTGTCACTATCTTTGTTGGCTTCCTCTTTTGTAACTGTTAATTTAGCTAGGTCATCAATTCACAGAAGCCTAAATTATTTTTCAGCTTTATGAAAACCTGTGTCTCTCCCAATATTTGTGGGCTCACTTTGCATTGGTATTATACGGCATCCATATAATATCAATAACAATTAAAAAGACTAACTAACAAAAATAAGAATTCAACCTGACACATACCACTGGAATTTTTGAGTGAAGAATAATTGTATAAGTGGTCAGCTTATTAAAATGTTTATGTCAATGCCAACTTCTATTTCATATGTGGTCTTCTAATGGCAGGGGCTCTAACAGTGATGATAAAATAATGAGAACTTAACTGTACATAAAACTAGAATGTAGAAAGAATTTAAAATTTTTTTTATTTTTTATTTTATTTTATTATTGTTGTTGTTGAGACAAGAGTCTCAAGCTTTCACCCTGGGTAGAGTTCTGTGGCATCATAGCTCACAGCAATCTCTAACTGTTGGGCTCAAGTGATCCTCTTGCCTCAGTTTTTCTTTTTTCTTTTTTTAGTGGAAACGGAGTCTCACTGTTGCTCAGGCTGGTCTCAAACTTGTGAGCTCAAGCAACCCACCTCCCTCAGCCTCCCAGGGTGCTAGTATGACAGGCATGAGCCACCGTGCCCAACATAGAAAGACTTTTGACAGGGGAGGGCTTCCTTTGCAGCTATAGCAAAATGTCCCTCAGTGCTTGTTGTCATGTTTTTAAAGTTCTCTCACAGTATGAGCATAGTTATTTACCACCTAAAAGCCCTGTGTAACGCTTAAAGGTTTTCTTTTTTTCCTTTCGGAAGTGTCTATCATTGATGTAATATTTGGAAAGATCTTAATTTATAAGAATGTGGTGGCAACAATTGCTTGTTGGCTTTTTAACAATATTTTCTACCTTCCCTCTTTTTTACTGCATTGGACAAAGTGGTGAGATTTTTATTTTCCTGCCCCCTTGAAGCCAGAGCAATCCAATTTTGACCAATGAGATTTAAAAGTAAATCTTGGTGGGGCTTCTGGAAAAAATTTTTCCCTCATGCTAAAAGGAAAGGCTTGTGAAGAGAAATCACTCTCTCTTTTTGCCCTGGCTATTCCCCTGCTTCCCGCCTTTGAATGTAGTCCAGTGAATGTGTGATACCTGGAGCTGCAGGAGCCACTTTGAGAGCATGAGGTGGTAAGTCTGGGGGTGGGAGGAAAGGCAAGAACCTGCAGCCTACAGCATGGAAGGATGGAATCTAAATTCTTATTTCTGTTATTCTTCTGCTGATTCAACTGTGGAACTATCTATTTTTGCAATCTTTGTTAAATGAATTGTTTTTTATGGTTTGCCTACTGTTAATTGGTTTTGGATTACTCGGTTAAAACATTCATAATAATACAAATTTATCTGTTCAACAAGTATTTACCCAGCGCCTACAGTATATCAAGTACTGTTTTAGAATGACAGAGCGAGCAGCAAGGATATCTGCATACAGTTGAGAGCTCCTCAGACGGTCTCCACTGGTCTCTAATTCCCAGTATTCATATTCTGTGAAGATCCTTTCCCTTGACTGTGGCCTTAACTCCTTCCTAAAGAATAGAAGATGGCAGAAGTGAAAGATACCACTTCTGAGATAAGACTGATTTCTTGGGTACCCTCTCTAGCTTGTTAGTCTTTGGGAAGCAAATTTTCATGGTGTGAGAGAGCCCTGTGGAGTATATGTGACAAAGAGTTGAGCCTTGTTAACAAAAACCTGAGCGAGGTTGAAAGTGGATCCCCACAATACCAGCTGAGCCTTCAGATAAGACTACAGCACCACCTAACCTTGACTGCAACCTCCCAAGAATTTCTGAGCCCAAAGCAGCTAAACTAAGCCATATCCCTGATTTTGACCATAGAAATTGTTAAGATTTCTATCTTAAGCCACTATGTTATGGGTTGTTATGTAGCAGTAGATAATTATCTTGAGAATGGTATTCCAGGCAGAGGTTACAAGTAAGTGGAAAGGCCCCAAGGAATAACTATGCTAGATGTACTTAAGGATAAGCAAGGTGGGTATAGTGGCTGGAACAGAGTGAGCAAGGGATAGAAACAGGTCAGGGATAGTAGACTGGATTGGGTTTAAGAATAAGGATTGCTGATAAGCCACTATAGCTGCCTAGAAACTCTCACGGCAGTATCCCATAATACACATTAAGGTATAAACTACTAACAAGTTCTTTTAGTTTCCTATGCTTGGGTTGCTGTACTGATCTCTAATAGCCTGAACTCCAGATAATACAATTTTATTTTCTGCACTGGTATGGTCTGGCTTTGGAAATGACAGAAGAAAAGGGGGAAATAATGGCTAATGGGCAAAATAAATCACCTTCTGAGGTGCTCTGAAGACCAGCAAATTAATACAGAAGGTCTTAGGAGGATGAAATGCTAGACTCACAGAGAGGTGGGCAAGCTCGGATTAATAGATCTAAAACCGCTACAAGATTTTGGATGCCAAGATAGGGCCGACAATGGGGTCCTAGAGAAAAAAGCTTACACCAAAGCAATATATACCTGCCCTTGTTGGCTGAAAAATTGGCCGTAAGGAACAGAATCTAAGAACCATCATTAAAGACGCCTATTCATGTTGCAGCCATCTAAGAAGAAGGTGGGTGGTTATATAAGGTGTTAAGATTCAGCTGAGTATTAAAAAATTACTACAGAATGAGATCCAAATAATACTGTAGAAGTAGTTATGCTAAAAACATCCTTTCAGAAGTTCTCTTGGTGCTAGGGAGAAAGAAACTCATAAAGACCAATTTTCTCAATAAGGGCTATAATAGTATTAGCAGGAAATGGAACCAGAGATTTCACTCAATTCCCGTAGTTTCTTTTACAAGTTATAACGTGACAGTAACTTCATTTTTAAGCATTTGGCATGGAACTGTGATTCAGTTTGGGAAGTAATCCTAGTTAAAAGACAACATGCTTTTAAGAATAAAGCATGGCAACATTACACCAGTTATGTAAAGAAAATTAAATTTCCTGGACAAACCATTGCTTATCCTACTCAAGAAGACATAAGACAAGTCTATTTTTATCCTTTCAGAAAACCTCAGTCCCAGAATGGAAGCACTGGTCTCCACAAATCAGTTGTCACAAACAAAATATAACGGTTGTTGATCAAGATAAATGTGACTTGCATATTTCTTCCAGAAAAGCTCTGAGATGAGCCTGATCACTGTAGTACAATTCGTGATTCCTGGAAAAGACAGTGAAGGACAACCGGGAAGGTGTCCCTTGTTGCCGGAAAAAGCAGGAAACTTCTCCCTCACTACTGTGTTGGAGGGAGCTCCGTAAACTTGGAATCAGGAGACCCGGGTCCATTACTGGCTCTGTGACTTTTGTGTGAGTGTGTATGTGTGTGATTACAGAGTAGGGACTCAGGGAAGTTTTCGAAATGTACAGTAGACTTTGGCATTACCAGTCATAGGTGAGAAAGTTAAGGTGCAAAGAGGAACAATGACTTGCCCAACCAAACTCACAGCCCATTTAACTAAAATTCAAACACGGGTTCTTTAGATCGTAAAAGCCCTCACTTAACCTTTCTCGAAAGTTAGTAAGAGGAATAACAACATCCACACAGCGTTGCTCCCGGACACTTGGAAAGATCATATGCCGGCCAAGCAACTGAACATCGCTTCCTAAAGCGCCGAAGGGGTGTGCAAAATGCTGTCCATTATGTCATTTAAGTGGAGATGCAGAACGGGACTGCAACTCACAGGGCCTCCTAGGTCCTCCATCCCCGACCCCCGCTTGCAGATAGCACACGAAGCCGCAGACCTCCACTCAGGCAGCTCGGCCCAGTCAGGGCCGGGAGGGAAAGGGGTCGGTGAGTGAAAGCAGGAGACGCGCACCCCGCCCAGACCCACCTGTCAGCCGGGCGCGCCAGCGGCGCACGCGCAGAGCTAGCGGTGGCGCGCACTGTCCGCACCTCGGTCCCACGCTTTCCTCGGCGACACAGTCCCTTTCAGTCCCCAGCCCTGGATCAAGAGCTGGCCGGACCCCAGCTTCCGCCTCTGGCTTCGGGGCGGTCACATGACCTAGGAGGCGGAGAGCAGGGCGGGGCGTCATGTGACCACTCTCAGGCGAAGGCTGATGACGTAGGAGCCCGCGCTTGCAGTATTTGCAACAGGCGAAGGTGGTTGAGAAGCCGAGTTGGGGTCCGGATAGGGGAAGTCGGGTTCAGCTGCACGGAGGTAACTCAGGCGGCCAGGTAAGGCAGAAGGGGCGGTGGTGATGGGGGTTGTGGCGGGGATTGTCGCTTCCCTCTGGGCCGCTCCGCCGATGCCCAGAGGTGGGGATCAGTGTACCTGGATTATGGTTCCGGCCCTTTAGACGTCACAGCGGTGAGTCTGGGGCAGTTCATTCTCCCCTGGGGTCCCCGACGCCGGCTCTTCATCTCTTAGCCCTATGAATGTAGGAAAAAGACTACGAATTTTTGATCCAAATAGGTCTGATTTGACCTGGCTTCACAGCAGGGTCATGGGCAAGTCGTTTTAGTAAACCCTCAGGGCCGCAGTTTCCTATGTAGATTGCTGTGAGGATTAGTGATAGTTAGAGAATAAAACCTCGGGGCACCGGTTTGTGGCACACTGTAGGTGACTAGAAATGATAGTGCCTGTTGTTAGTTTTGTAACTCGCCAAATCTTTGTTAATAGCTTATTTTATGTGACGAGCTGTTTTATATGTTATAAAATATGTCAGGGTTCTAGTTTAAGGAGCTCTCAGCATGAATGAGTGGCAGGCATGTGACCATATAGTTGTGATGTTGTGATGATTTTTATAATACGAGGATGTGGTGTGTGTGAGAGTGAGATAGGGATAATGGTGGTATGAGGAAGAGACCAGGCAATTGTATGAGTAAGACAAGGCTTCATACAGAAAGATACATCCTTCCATGTTGAAAAAGGAGACACAGCTCTGACTGGTACAAAACGCCTATGGATTTAAGGAGGTCAGCATATTGTCTAAACAGAGTTTGCTCTGTGCTGTAAAGAAAGATGAATGCAAGGAACAGTATCTTTATTTTTACATTAGCCAATTCTTGCCTCTGCCTACAGAGAATTTTGTTACGGGAGGCAAAATAACATGCTAAGGAAGAATTCAGGAACTGCCTAATCTTGTTCTAAACTTTCTTGGACACCATAGGCATGGAGAACCAAAAGATCACTGTTATTACCTGAGAAGGATCCAACAAGAGGTTGATTTAAACCAGTGTTTCTCAACTAATGCACTATTGACATGTTAGGCCAGGTGATTCTTGGGTTGGGGTTGGGGCTATCCTATGCATTATAGGATATTTAACAGCATTCCTGGCGTCTCCTCATTAGATACCAGTAGGTACTTACTCCTCTGTGCAACAACCAAAATATCTCTAGATATTGCTAAATGTCTACTGTGGTTGTGAACCACTTATTTAAACCATGACACGAAAGATGGTATCTTAGTTGGGCTGCTGTAGCAAAATACTATAAACTGGGTAGCTTATAAACAATTGAGATGTATTTCTTATAGTTCTGGAGGCTAGGAAGTACAAAGTCATGGTGCCAGCAGATTGGGTGTCTGATGAGGTTCTGTTTCCTGGTTTATAGGTGGCACCTTGTTGCTGTGTCCTCACATGGTAGACAGGCAAGACAACTCTCAGGAGTATCTTGTATAAGGTACTAACTCCATTCATGAGGGTGGATCTAGTCGCTTCCCAAATGGTCTCAGCCTCCTAATACCATCACCTTGGGAGTTAGGACTACAAAACATAAATTTTAGGGGTGTGCAACCATTGAGACCTTACTTAGATGGGTAAGAGAGAGAATCGAAGAGGATAGTCTCTTGATGAGGGAACAGGATGAACAAAGTCATGAGCTGGAATGATGAATAGTGAGTATGAGGGAGAGAATGAAAGCTGAGAGAGAGGGGTCTGGCTGGAGCAGAGGGTGGTTTATTCATTTAGGGAATGTTTTCTGAGCGCTTGCTGTTGGTGAAGCATTGTGAGCATCATGCAAGACAGCAGTGATGGATTCACAAAGTAGAGTGACTGCAAAAGGCTATAATCACATCAAAGGAGACACTGTTAGAATCAGAGACTGTCTTTCACTTATGTACTTAGACTGTGCTTATTTGGAGAAACAGAGAAAAGGTTTTCTATTCTCTCTCTCTCTTGTGTTATTCATTCTTTTGGCTTCTCAATCTAGTCTCAGCCTTAATCTTTTCCCTACTCCAGAATTACGGAAGGGTGTGACCATGTTTTCCCTGGCTCTCTACAAGAGTAAAGTTTCATTGGAGTAATGTGAATTTTACCTTCAAACAAATATGATAGCTACCATTCTGTTTATCCTGGATTGCATTAATCTTTACAGCTATATTGTTATTAGTTCAGGCTACTGTAACAAAATACCATAGACTGGGTGGCTTATATAACAGAAATTTCTTATAGTTTCGGAGTCTAGAGGTCCAAGGTCAGGTTGCTGGCATAGCTGGAATCTGTTAAGGGCATTTTCCTGGCTTGCACTTGATCACTGCCTCAGTCTAGGTGGGTTCAAGGTAAGGTAACTTATAAAGAAAAGAGATTTTCTGGGCTCACAGTTTGGCTGGTTGTATGAGAAGCACGGCTCTGGTCTCTGCTTGGCTTCTGCAGAGGGTCTCAGGCTGCTTCCACTTGTGGTGGAAGACAAAGGTGGCCCAGTGTGCAGAGATCACATGGCAAGAGAGGAAGCAAGCAGGAGGGGAGGAACCAAGCTCTTTTTAACAACCAGCTCTTGAGGGAATTAATAGAGTGAAGAACTCACTCATTGCCACCAGGATGGCACCAAACCTTTCATGAGGGATCCAGACATCTCCCATTAGGCCCTGCAACCAACATTGGGGACCAGATTTCAACATGAGGTTTGCGCTAGGTGTGGTGGCTCATGCCTGTATTCCTAACACTCTGGGAGGCTGAGGCAGGTGGATTGCCTGAGCTCACGGATTTGAGACCAGCCTGCACAACAGTAAGACCCTGTCTCTGAAAATAGCCGGGTATTGTGATGGACATCTCTACTCCCAGCTACTTGGGAAGCTGAGGCAGGAGAATCACTTAAGCTCAAGAGTTTGAGGTTGCTGTGAGCTGTGATGCCAGGGCACTCTACCGGGGATGACAAAGTGAGACTCTGTACAAAAAATAAAAAGTAAATAAATAAAATAAAAATAAATAATAAATATGTGAGGTTTGGTGGAAAAAAACATCCAGACTAGGGCAACCACCTTCTCTCTTTGTGTCTTCACAGGGAGGGAGGGTGAAACCCAGTGTCTTGTTCTTTTATACAGCCACTAACTGATCACCTAAACCTCATTATCTTCCAGAGGCTTCATCTTCAAGTACCATCACATAATGAGATTAGGGCTTCAACATACAATGAAGGGTGAGGACAGAATCATAAAACATAAAAATACACTTTCCTCTGAGTCTCCCGTAGGGACTCTGATTAAGTAGGTCTGAGACAGTGCTCATAAATCTGTATTTTCAGTAATTGTTTCTCCTGATTCTTAAGATCAGACAAAGTTGAGAAAACTTTAATTTATCCTTACATTAATGCTGTGAGATAGATAAGACGATCTCTGTTTTACACAGGAGCAACTAAATTGAAGATAGAGAAATTAAGCAGTATAGCCAGGGCCATGCAGCTTTAAGTGGCAAGGACAGGGTGGAATTTCCAGGTATCTGTCTCCAGTGTGCTTTGTAAGCACAACTCTGTATTGCTGCTCACAGTGCTATGATGATGAAGCTGGTGATAATATTTGCTCTCATTTTTAAGGATTTATATGCTGGGTATTATTCTAAGTGTTGGGCTATACATACTAACTCATTCAGTCCTTCCAGTCATCCTTGAGGTAGGCACTGGATGATCTCCATTTTATAAAAGGGAAAGTGAAACGCTGAAAGATTAATTTCCCTCAAGCCATTCAGTTGCTGAGTGGCGAACCACTCTGAGTATGGGTAGTCCAAGGACTGCGTGTTTACTCTGTGTTGCCTCCCTCCCTGTTCTACTCCATAGTGTAGCTAATATTTGCTTTAATATAAACATGTTTCATACTATATTTAAGTAGAATTGCTGTTTCGGGAAGATAAGCTTTGTACATGCTGTGGCTTCGGTCCCTCTTGTTTACTCCCCAGTTCATACGTGTGATGCACGTGAATGATTGTGCTTCTGGAACTGTGCTCACTAGGACAGTAGCCAGTAGGCATGCACGGACATTTACATTTAAATTAACTAAAATTAAATGAAATTTAAAGCTTCCTTAGTCACACTAACCACATTTTAGGTAATTAATATCTACCTGTTCTTAGTAGCTACCATATTAGACAGTAAAGATTAGAGAATTTTTGTCATCACAGGAAGCTCTATTAAACAGGACAGTTAAACTTGTACCAAATTCAAGACTGGCTAGAAAACTGAATACTTGAACTGTATCATTTTGGTCCATGCAATATTGTGTTTTTTAAGTCATACTTGGTACTGTAACAGGTAAACCTGCAAATCTAATTGGCTTTGCATAGTTGAAGTTTATTTCTTTCAAGCATGGAGCCTGATTGGTAAACAGTTTCCCTAAGCAGTTGATGTAGTGTCATAGGCTCTTTCTGTCTGACAATTCCCTATGTCAGTATATAGCTTCCAAGGTCACTGCTTTCCTATATCAAGCTAGCCAGTGGGAAAGTGTGCAGTTTTTATGTACTGGGCCTAAGAACAGCTTATATTTCGTTCCCTTGTGTACAATTATAGGCCGCACCTAAGAGCAAGGAACGCTGAAAAATGTGGTCCATGTGTAGCTGTATGACCAGGTTGAAGAGGAAGTGGTTCTGGTGGACCCCTTGCTGGTACATGTCACAAGTATCCTATCCTTAGCCTACCCTGAGGAATAGTCTCAAGAAGTAGTCCTAGGAAGTTTGCTGTTGCATTTATTGAAGATACTCATTCAGTGTCACTTTTATTATCTCAAATGATAGTCCCTACTGCTGTGATTGCCATGGAAATCTTTATTTTTCCTGAGATCCCTGTGCTCTTTTTTCTTTATTGGGAAAGTAGTTTTCATGTTTTGTTTCGATTGCTGGGAAGCTCACAGCCAAATTAGGGTTACAAGTATAGTACAGTGCAAACCCCAAAGTCTGCATGAATGCCTTGTAACTTTCTAACCTGCTTTCCTGTTTCTTGACCCTGATTTTTATGAATTTGTATTTTTCCA